GTTTGTTTGTTTTAAGGATAGCCTCGTTGATCCACTGTGCTGCTAAAGAAGACCTGAGTAAAGGCCTACTACAACGACGTTGCTGACCTTTGAAATAAATACAGTGGGTTAGACAGAGGGTGTAGAATCCTTTTTGAATGTTTTGTGTTTTGGAAAATCCCTCCATGTTTACATATTTTTGCTATGACATGACGGACTTTTTCTGTTGACGTTTTTGGTACTTTATTTGATTCCAATTTGAGATTTTATCATTGTATATTGTTATTCTTTCTATATTTTGTACTTATATTGAAGTTTTTGTGTTTGCTTCTGATCTGTATATATGTTGTTTAAATTTGATCTTTAATATGGCTACAGCCATATTTGGATTGATGCAGTGGCCGCTGGACTTAGCGTCACTTATCTATCACTGTCTCTGATACTCTTCGGAGTAATTGTATCCTGGAAGAGGCATTATTTCCAGGTAATGCTTTGTATTTCCATGTTTTTATTTAAATAAGACGCTTTCTCCTAGAATTTTTGTCCTTTTTGATTTGTTGGGACCTGGGACTGGGAGAATCGTACAGGAGTGCACCTATTGGAACCCTTTGGAACGGCCACTGTAGAAATTCATTTACAGAGGGTTCTCTCAAACTATCCGCTTATTCATTACTAACAAAGCGAAGCGTCCCTGTACTCTTAGAATAACCCTTCATTCACTCTTTCTTTTACGCGGATGCAGAGTACACCCGAAATGTTGTGTCAAATCAAGACAAAATTAATGTATTTTCAGTTTCAACAATCATACAATAAGTTAAACCTGTCATGTTGGATAGCCAGGTTCGCCTGTTATCATTGTTTCTGTTATTGCTATTACTTATTGATGTTATGAATCGTAACCTCATTATTTCCACCATGAACCTGCAATCTTTGAAGATTGTTGTTACGAATGCATTGACATATGCATTTTTTTAAGCACGAGGAGGGCCAGTAGTGTATACAAGCCACAGAATCTACCTAGGTTTGTACACTGATAGCATGTTTTGAAAAAAACTTTGTGTTTCTTCCCTTGTTTTAGTACTTGGAGCTAGATAACATTGCATAAATTTGCTAATGTTGTGAAAGGTAATGCTTCCGCTCTCAATCTATGGTCCTCCTGAATACGAAGGTGAACACCCAACAATAGAATACAGCCACTCGTGTAGTCAAGTTTTAGTTTTCTCCTATTTCGATAAGTTGGTAACGATGATGTTATATTTCATTACAACAAATATCTCTAACTGCGACAGTATAATTTGACTCTGAAGTCTAAGAAACCTATAAAAATTCAATTCTTCTGTGCGACTACAATGCTCCAGATAATATTAATCAACAAAATAACACCTATGATATCATTATTATATCACCGCACGATGCTGAAATTTTCTATAGAAAACACCTAAACTCTTGAAATACATGGGAACACCTTGAGCTTACTTTAGAGGGTCGCCGACATATGATAATTCAGGTTGATAAACCATAATGTGCATTAAAATTTCTTTACGTCGACTTTTGTGGTAAGATAGAGCTATCAATGTCTACAGAAATTTGTTAGTAGTCATTTTAAGTATGAGAAAGCTTTTAGGACCTCTAGGTTGTGTAAATGTTTACAATGATACACATTTTTATACTTTTCACTGAAACGTTACTCATATATACGAAAACCTTTTGTTTTAACTGGTCGACTACTCCGATGTCCTCCCTCCTTGGGCGCCTGTTTCCGTTGAGAGCTCGAGTAGTCCTGTTGGGTTTACAGTTGGTAGGTATTTATTTTTCTGCTGCATTTAATGCTCGCGAATTTTTATTATTTATGTAACTTCTATCATATTTGTTTATATATATTGTTTCTATCCACTTGTTCGTTCCTGCATAATTTTCTTGACTCACACCAATCCTCTGGCTTTGGGCAAAATTTTTCTCATTTTTATGAAAGGTCTCATAGCAAGCCTTGAGAACATGCTACCAAAATCTCTGCAATTTACATTGACTTTGAGCGAAACCTCAATTACAGTAGACTTTGGTCAACCCATTGAAATGCATTGAGAAACCTTCAGAATACCTTGGAGTTTCTGGGAAGGAAATCCTGAAGTCTTCCAGACATTTTCCGTAAATCATGTGCACAGAATTGACAACACTTGAGACTTTTGCAAGATATTGACTTTTCTGACCCGTACTTATATTCGAATTCGAAAACTTCAGATATTTTAAAGTACTTACAAAATCCAAGCTAACATTTCTTTGAGCCGCCACCCGTGCTTATTTAATTCATCCCTTGCGTAGCACAAGGAGGCTTAATTTGCATTACCGATTGCTTCCGTAATCTCCTCTCTAAAATAAGTAGCACTTTTAGACCGTGGACAAAAATCCTCTAACAAAGAATTGTAACTGAAATCGACTTAACGCAAATTGTTGGTAATTTCTGATTCACACTTTGCTCTCCTTCCCATATAAAGTGCGAGCAGCAGCTAGTCGAGGGGTCAGTACGTTTGTTAAACCCTTTTTAATGGACTTCAAACGATCGCTGTCAATGAATTCTGACAATCTCTTAACATTTTGGTCAACTTCCATCGTTCCAACTAACCAAGGAATTCGGTTTCATACGATGCAGCTTCAAGAGTATCTGGTTCTTGCTTTCTTAGTGGGAATGCCAAAGTAATAAACTCCAAGTCGCAACTATTCCATCATCGTCAACAGCAACATAGAACTTCGTACGTACGTACATAAGTTCACGTTGCCATACCACACTAGTACAGAGACGCAATTGTCAGTTCAAATCCCATAGTGGTAGCGATAGTAGGAGTATTAGTAGTAATCGAAAATTTTCGGGTTTGACGATATTCTAGATGAATCTAGTGAGATAAACTTAAAAGAGAAAGATAAAGGTGATGAAGAATTCCGAATGTAAGAATTTCATAGGACACAACGAGTGGATACGCCCGCGCCATTACAAACGATTTTGAGTCATGTCACTCAGGGTCTCTAACCATAGGCTACTATCATCTCACGGATCCCAACCAGATAGTCGACACCTACCATCATGACTCAGTCCACTTGTCAGTGACTTTATGGATTTGTGCCATGTTTTGGTCTGGCCGCCCCTAGCTTTCTTCCAACCTATTCCTACATCGGTCTACACGTTCGACTACTTCACTCCCTATCACTAGTTCGGGTGCCGACGCAAGCCATTTTTGAAGCGAAATTTTGCATTTCGAGGGTGTGAACCGCAACCCAAACATGCTTGCATTGTTGTTGAGGGAAGTCACCGGATTCAGAATTTTGTCAGCGTATTAATCAAGTAGAAGTGTGTAATCGGCATATTCTAGGTCAACAAGTGAATCTGCTGGTACAAGGTGCACCCCTGAAAAGTCTGACGACGATAATGTTAACTCTGAAAGCATGTCTATGACAAAGTTAAACAAGAAATACTACTATTGTGGCGTCTGAACGTGTGTGTATGTTGTAGGACTTGGCGCAGTGTGAATATCTGGTCTATACATTCACGTCCAAGTGTGAAAGCAGCCTGGTTTCTCTGGTTTGCTCTTCGCGAGCTCTAGTTAGGCGTTTGATGATAATCGAGGCTAACAATTTATGAACTGTATTAGTTAGACTGATTTCTCTGTGATTGTCACAAGAGGATTTTTGTCCTTTCTTGTATATTGGGGCAGTCAGCGACTGAGACCAGTTGGATGGGATTATGTCCAGTTCCCAGATGATCATTGAGTAGGCTTTTTATCAGCCTGCACTCAAGCTGACTTCGTTATTCATCAAGTTCAATCCCCAGAAACACGAAGCGTAAACCGTGTTGTTTCTCCATCTGGAGTATGTGAAATAGAATTGATTTTACTCGTATCTTGCATGCGCGTTTCCGGAGACGCAACATTCATCGATCGCCGGGATTCCAGAGTTCTAACTAATGAAGCACGCCCTATTTGCCATTAGGTTCGGACAGTAAAAGCTCCAATGTGTAGTTTAGTACGAGGTTCCAAGAGACGAGGAATAGTGTTTCGTGAGCTCAAACCGTTTGCTTCAGAGGTGCGAGGTGACAAACAATCGAAGGAGGAGCTGGTCGAAGAGATAGGAGGGTCATTAAGAGGTGTAGAAATGATATGATTGTGACCAGTTTGTTATAAATTGTTATAAGCTTTTACTATGAGGTTAATATTACTCGTTAGCAGCCGGCACTAACAATGATGGAATTGCTGATAATGACATCTCTTTTTGATAAACTGATTTATGAACACGTACCAAATGCCTTATTAGCTGTTGGTGAAAAGTTTCCAATCTAAATATTGACGACCGGAAACTCAACTGGAGCATATCCAGCCGCAATGTTGGCTACCTCTAACTTCTCCATTACCGCCAATACTTCTACTGTTTCTACCACTGGGATTTGAACTAACAATCGCGTCTCTGTGCTAATGTGGTGTGACAACCTGAACTTATGTACATATTTACAAATTTCTACGTTGTAATTGACTGACTGACAGACTACTCTTACTCTTTTAAATCTATGGCATTTGAAAGTTCAACTATCTACTTACTCCTACCAAGTACATAATTGTTTGAAATGAACTTCATAAATACTGAGTCATACGTACATGTTGATTATGTAGGAATCACTACTATTTGAACATTATTTATTAGCCTGAATTCATCCTAAAACTCCTGTCTTCTAACTTGGTATTAGACATTCCAACAACACCATTAGTAGGTGGTAAGTGATGTTATTTCTATAGTATGACATCCTTACACTTCATTCCCTGAATACAAAAATGAACTATCAAGACTTATTGCTGTTTATTTTTCTTCTCTGTCTGCTTGCTATGTTTAGTGTTCTATCATATATTAACAGACCGACATCTGTAATCACTTCAGGACCTCATCTTTTCGTAAACATTAAAATCAAAAACAGCCTTGTTTTCCGTCAATTTTGTTACGTGAAAATATGCTTTTCATTTTACAGACCCTGAAAACTATCGTCCATGTGTGATCCAGAAGGAATTAAGTCATTTCTATACACTTTCTTACAAACCAAGAAACGTATAGCACCAGAATATACCTTCATTGAAAAACCGGTTGGTCGGAACAAGGTTAGGTTTCTTTGTGAAGTAAGTTCAGTGCACTCCCTGGATCTAGTTATAGGCTCGCGCTGATGGCTTCAGTTACGTTGGAATAGGAAATTCCACGACAAAAAAAGAAGCTCAAACGAATGCAGCTAGAGATTTTGTTAACTACCTTGTGCGCGAAGGCGAAATCCCTGCATCTTCTGTCCCAGCTATACAGGTACGTTATATATTTCTATTCATGTTAACAGCCTACCAATGTATTACCTTCAGAACCAGCAAGCACATCTATACCTGAAAGTCTCGGACAAAGTATGCCGGCTCAACTACAAGGGAATTTTTCAGGTTCTGGCGGCAACTACATTAGCAGCATATACGACCAAAAAAAGTTGGAAGAGGTAGTGTTTGGATAACGTTTGTATTTTCTTTGTTTAGGCAGAAGAGGTGGATTTGACTTCTGATTTGCATGGTGGTTGGTCTATGGAGAACGCCAAGTCACGTCTAAATGAGTACTTACAAGCAACTCGCCAGCAAGTGGGTCAAGTGAAGTATACGTCAGTTGGTCCAGATCACAGCAGGTGAGATAGCGCGATATGATTCTCTCTGTTAAGCATATTAAGTCAAAATATCGGCTCCCATTTGTTATATTTTTAAACACGTATTTGTACATAGTGGCAAGGCGGACAGGAACGCTGGGTGACATAAGGAGCATTCAGTGCCCTGATCGCTTATCCACTCAATTTCGCTTACAGTTTAACGAATTGAGTGGTTTTAGCGATTAGTTGGCTCTGAGCGCTAATAAAGTGATACATTCATTTGTTTACAGCTTGTGTTCCTGGTCTTCGTAATCATCGTTCAACTTCAAGTTCAGTCGTGGTAGGTAAGTTCCTTTTACTACAGGATAATTCACCTGATTATGCTGAACTAATTGCTCAAATCAGTATAAAATTTCTTTTGAAATACCCAATCCAATTAATTACTTCAGATTAACCGTTTAAAATGCTTACAGGAGTTACATAGCGGAGATGACCATCTTGGCGAAAAATCTTCGAAAAACCCTGTACGCCCGAGAAACAGGATCGAATAAACAATTAGCATCTCGCGCTTGCTGCCTATCATTGGTCCGTCAACTTTTTCATGCTGGCGAAGTGGAAGCATATACTGGCGAAAAGCGAAAAAAGAAGCGTAGTGAGGTGAGCTTCAAGTTGTTTTTTATTCGTAGGATGAAGTTCTGTTCATGGTGTTTGCTTATGAAAATCTTATTGGTATACTATTTCCTTGGTAGTTTTTAAATATTTCAGTACGATTGTTGTAGAGCTTATGGAATTTAACAATCGAAAGGACAAAGGTTCTCTTGTGACTGTCACAAAGGAATCACTCTGACTAATATGGTGTCAAAATGTAAGCTTCAATAATACTTCTACGCCCAACTAGGGCTTGTGAAGAGCAGACTCGAGAAAATCAAGGTGGGTTCAGACATAAACGTGGCTATACAGACCAGATATTCACACTGTCAGGTCCTAGAACATAGATACACGTTCAGACTTCCCACGATAGTAGCATTCCTCGACCTCAAGGTGGCATTTGACTCTGTCAATCGTAAGGTTCCATGACAGTGTCTGTCATTGAAAGGTGTGCCGAAGAAGTACATTAACCTTATAGACAGACGGACAGACATACAACACAGAACTTCGTACGTACATACATCAGTTCTGGTTGCCATACCGTATCAGCACACAGACGCATTAACCTTATACATGCTCTCTACTCGAACACTACTGGTTGGGTGAGGGTTTATGGCGAACTGTTGTCGGAATTCTTTACTTCAAGTGGTGTCAGTCAGAGCTGTCCACTTTCTCCATTCTTGTTTAATTTTGTCATAGACATGCTTTCAGAGTTAACATTATCGTCGTCAGTCTTTTCAGGGATGCACCTTGTACCCGGAAACTCACTTGTTGACCTAGAATATGCCGATGACATACTTCTACTTGGTGAAGGCGCTAAAAAATACAGAGTCTGCTAACTACCCTCAGCAGCAATACAAGCCATGTTGATAAATGTAGATTTCCTGTTTGGGGTCCTCAAGATGGTAGTAACTGGTGGTTAAAGACCTTGAATGACGGCTCAAAACTGTTAGCGATGGCTCAGGTGCATCCATTCTTTGTGTTCTCTAAAATTCCAACCTTCTGAATTCCCCATCACCTTTATATTTTCATTTTTAAGTTTATTTCACTGGATTCCGCTTCTTGAATATGTCCGAACCCCTAGTCTTCTCCATTACTCCTAATACGTGTGCTACTGTGGGATCTGAATTGACAATTGCATCTCTGTGCTAATATGGTGTGGCGACCTGAACTGATGTACGTAAGTACGAAGCTATACGTTTTGGCTGACTGACTGACTAAATTCTTACTTTTCTTAGCCTGATTCTATCCTTAGTTCATGTTACACTAGTTTACTTGATACCTTTCATTTGTACGTTTCCTTTTGTTCAGTAATAAAACAGAACCTTCTGTTTATGTCTGTATTCAGGTTGCAGTGTATGAGGTCGATTTGAATCCAAAGGTTGAAGAAAATCTGACAGGTGTATTGCAAAACTTGGGTCTTCCCGTTAACTTGAAACCCCCTACAAATCTCCCAGCAGATCAAATTTATAATATGATAACTAATTACAACTTGGTTGATTTCGATGATGCTCCAAAACAACAACCTCAGTTGGTTGCTTGGTGTCCACCGCTTCCCAACTGGAACCCATGGACTGCTTGTAATATCGATGAAGGTCCAGAGGTAGGTTTTCATGAGTGATTATTGTCTGGGTTGAAAATAACATCAGGATTTAAACTCCTTACATTCTGTTTATTCAAATAGCAATTATCAACCAATTGGTTATCAGTTGGTCATTCAAATCTGCCCAACTAAAAAACTTCTTCGTCTCAAGAGTGAATGGAATGTATTTAGCTAGCGACCAGCGATTCGTAAAATGACCTTGATAACTTGCAAGCCAACCAGTATGCATATACTACAAATTAGCCATTTTTTTGTAAAAAACCATAAACGATTCGGGTTAACAATTATTATTCACATTAAAGTTGGATAATGTTTTGTATCCATATATCCAATCATTTATTTAGTTTATTAATTCCAAATCTCAAGAACTTGGGAATTTCCTTGGAAATTCATAAGTCACGTTAGATTGTTATGCGCAGTTTGATTCTTTTTGTTTCGTAGTAAATTAGTCACTTCCCTTAAGGCTCACTCAAGTTCGTCACTCTTTAATCTTTGCAGTGTTCATCAATTTTAAGCATTTATCAACTAAACATTAGTAGGTTTTACTTGGATCGAAATGAAGTGCGAGTTGCCGTCATTGAGTTTTGAATTTTGCACAAAAATTCAATATCTATTCATTATCGCAAATCTGATTCTTTCGTTCACATATTACCCTTACACAAAGATCGAAGTAATTTTAAGTCTAGTAGTCTGAAAATGATATCTAGTCTTATTTGAGACCGATAACCTCGTAAATGCGCTGATAGCTAATCCCATTTCAAAGTTAGATAACTCCCTGATTTTATTGAATATGTGGAGCAAAGCTGAAACGCGAGCTTTAATTATTGGAAATCGAATGTAACTATTAAATCACATCTTTACATCTCAGTAGCTTAACAGCTTACAACAGATAATTCTAAACTTGGTGTGATCCCAACTATAATAAGGATTTAAATAGAATTCCTATTACGTGCTTGGAGTAACTAAATAAAGTTTATATGTTCAGAGTGATACTTGTTTCCTTTTTTATGAGTCCCCATAAGTTCAACTAGTCACTTTTACTTTCCTAACAGGCAGACTATGCCAGATATAACAAATCATTTGCTTTTTAATTCCTTGAAATTTGAAGGTTTTTTTATATGATATTTATACATGGAATTTCATAATCAAAAGATGTTGACACACTTTAAAGTGTCACGTTGAAAATGTCAGTATAAATCTGAATCAAGATATTTCTTTATAAATTGATTGTAAAAATTTCCTTTAATAAATCCATCATTGAATTATAAAAGTGTTCAATAGAACAATGAGAAGGCATATTTGATCAGATCAATCACTAATTGTCTTAAATTTCTACAAAGCATGGATTCCAAACTAGCGACATAATTTCACTTTTTGTTTTCGTATGCAATTAAACTGGAAGGAACTGACTTTGATATGTTATCTATACCTTTTTGCATACTTACCTCTTTGTTTATTAGTCTTATCTCCTTTGAAATATTTTTTTTTCAACTTCTAAGGCTAATCAACCGTTATCTCACATTAGCGCCAATTTGGCTGACGAGCGGTTACGCCGACTTGACAACGACCCTCAATTGCGGTCACTTATGGATGAGCGTGCCCAATTACCCGTTAATCCTTACAGGGTTTCAATACTAGAATCCGTCAAACGTAATAAAGTGACGATTATTCGTGGCGAAACTGGATGTGGCAAAACCACTCAGGTTTGTTTCATTATATATAAATTCATTTAATCTTGACAGTATATATGTAGTAAACTCGAATATGTTCTTTTTATCTATATGCCTATTTATAATTTTAGATTCCGCAGTTCATTCTGGACTCATATTTGGAATCAGGAATGGGTGCTGAATGTTCTATCCTAGTAACACAACCAAGACGTATATCTGCTATAAGCCTTGCTGAACGCATCGCTTACGAGAGGGGCGAAGTTGTAGGAACTTCTGTCGGATATTGTGTTCGTTTTGAGACAGTTTATCCTCGTCCATATGGATCTATCTTGTTTTGCACTGTTGGGACAATGGCACGCAAAATGGAAGGAGGTCTTCGAGGAGTGTCTCATGTTATTGTTGATGAAATACATGAAAGAGATGTTAATACAGATTTCATGCTAATATTATTACGTGAAATGATAAGAGCAAACAGAAATCTCCGACTTGTTCTTATGTCTGCTACTATTGATATAACTATGTTCAGCGAGTACTTTGGGGATTGTATGGTTTTGGACATCGAGGGTCGTACACACCCTGTCGAGTGTAAGTAAATACTAGTCTTCCTGTTTTCTATTATCTATTATAGTAATTTCATGCTTGGTAATATTCACATAGCCTCAGTCACAAAATATAATTTAAGAAGACCAAATAAAGAAACTACCAATAAACAGTAGCTTTTTGTCGGTCGGAGTTAAGCTATAAATCCATCTTAAGTTTCATACGACTACATAATGCGTTACTCTTTACCATAAGGTACTGTAATAGTCTTTCTTTGGTGATTATTATCATGAAATATATTATCGAGTAGACTACCTGCGTTAAACTTGATCTGTTTACATTTGCTTGGTTAACTACTCAGATATAGAAAGCAATTCTACAATGATTCAGACTTAACTTTTTTCTGATTACTTATCACCCAGCAATTTTCCATTTCCAATATAGTGGCTTTAATAATGACTAAGATAATGACATTCGTTTTTTCGATAAAATTTTCTAATTAATCCCCAAAAAGTATCGCAAAATGGTTCACAAGTTCTAACCCTGTTTTTAATTGTACAAATAGTTGATGAGGGTAAATTAGAGTTTACATATATGTAAGGATTAAAAATTGCCTAAATGTTTGAACATGAATATTTCCTAAATTTCGTCACACAGATTTCTGTTGTAATCATGGTACTTTGTTGTAATATTCAGTTTGTTTTTATTTTTGTTATCAGATTACTTCCTAGAAGACTGTGTGAAAATGGTTAACTTCATACCTCCACCTGTAGAAGAAAAAAAACGAAAGCGCCATGAATTAGAAAATGTGACAGATAACACTGACGAAAATTGTAACTTAAAATGTGATCCCATTTATGGAGATTCAGTGGTTCGTTCCATGAGCGAAATCACCGAGAAAGAAGTTCCTTTTGAACTTGTTAGTGCGCTTCTGGATAAGATAATAAGTATGAATATTCCTGGCGCGGTTCTTGTCTTCCTTCCTGGTTGGAACATCATTAGTCTTTTGCGAAAATATTTGCAGTCTCATCCGAGATATGGAAGTCCCGATTATATTATTTTACCACTTCATTCTCAAATCCCTAGGGAAGACCAGCGCTTGGTTTTCCGTTCGACTCCTTCTGGTGTCTGAAAAATTGTGCTAGCAACTAACATAGCTGAATCATCGATCACAATCAATGATGTTGTCTTTGTGATCGATTTCTGTTTATCACGCACGAAGCTTTTCACTGCTCGTAACAATTTAACATCCTATTCTACTTCATGGGCAAGCAGAACAAATCTGGAGCAACGGCGAGGCAGAGCTGGTCGAGTTCATCCAGGATTTGCCTTTCATCTTTGTAGGTAAGGTGTTTTCCTTTTGCCTAGGCTTATTAAGATGATTAATTGATTCAATAGTGTAGTGAGTTTGATATAGAACTGAAGTACACTACTTTGTATGTAGGAGACATAGGCCTTAATATTTTCCAAAAACCTATTTTTCCGAATATTTTTGTTGGCTGAATTCATAATTTGATTGTAACACTACTTTCGTTTTCAGTCGCGCTCGCTTTGAACGTTTAGAAAAGCATGCCACTCCCTAGATTCTGCGTACTCCGTTACACGAGCTGGCATTACTTATAAAGCTTTTGCGTCTTGGTTCTGTTAGAGACTTTCTAATGAAGGCTTTACAGCCACCACCACTCGATGCAGTAATTGAAGCGGAGCATACATTAAAAGGTAAGATCGGCACCAAGTTGCATGTTTATCGTGATTATTTTTGTAATTCGTTCTCTTATATCATATGTCCGTAAAAGATTAACAAAATAACAGGTTTTCGAAGATTGCTCAGTATATTAGGAACAAAATACGACGAATTTTAAGATGTTTTTCTTATTGTAGTTAATCAACTGATTGTGAAGTTTTATAAACTTAATGATATATCAATACAGGGGATTTTTTCTGCAGTTAAAAAGTTTATTGGTAAAGCATAAGAGTTATTTTTAAATTCTCCCTTTTATGATCTCAAAGTTTTCCTCAAGGAGACTTTCTTCATGATAAAACGAACCTATAATCCTGTATTGCGTAATTTTGGCTCATTGTACAACATAACTTTTTGGCCACATTTAGAATTCCATCTCTTCATCTTCCAGTGCAACTAACTTTGATATGTAGTGGCAAAGTTAGGAATAAGCATTTCGGATCACGTCCACTTGTAATAACGGTGTCGGAAGTAACAATTATGAGGTTAGAAATCCATAGCCATACTTATTTACTATTTTATGAGGACTGTTGATACTTCCAACTGCGCAAGACAATAATCGAACTTAATGTCTCAGTGGTTGTACATCACACATTAAGGCTTTTTTTCGAAAATTAATATGTTGAATTTTTTCTCTGATATTAATAATAATCAGAAATGAAGGCGCTGGACAAAAACGACGAACTAACTCCCCTTGGATTTATTCTTGCTCGGCTTCCAATCGAACCGCGTTTGGGGAAAATGTTGATATTTGCTTGTGTCTTTAATCTGGGTGGAGCAGCTGCTGTTCTTACGTCTACCGCAAGTCTTGGTTGTGATCCATTTCTATTGCCTCCGGACCACCGGAGACTCACAAATCACCAACGATCATTTGCAGCCGATTATTCAAGTGATCATTTAGCTGGTTTAAATGTTTTTCAAGTGTGGGCAACTGAACGTGCTCGTCGAGGTGATGAGTCAGCAGATCTGTTTTGTGACCAACATGGATTCAATAGCTCTGCATTACGAATTATTGATGATGCTGCAAACCAAGTATGCTTGCTGAATATTTTCCCTCGTTCTATTTGTTTTTTTATGGTCCTGTGAAGTGATTTTTTTTATTTTTCTAAACGCCGATTTTACACACTGACTATTCTCATCATTTAGTGATGTTTGATAGTTCCGTTACCGCATTTTTAGCTCAAATTTAGCTATTATAAATATAGGCTGTTAGTACTACTACTGTTCTTACACCCTCTCCTTTCTGGGTTCTAAGAGAGAGAAAAGTAAATAATGAGTGAAAATAACTATATTGTGTTATATTTCTGTTGAATGAATGTAAGCGTTTTTCTTTCACATTCGGAATGTCAGTAAATTTGAATTGATTCCCATTATGGTCGAACATCAGTTAGTGAAGTGCTAGAAGTCTAAGAGCACTGGAAACCTGTTCCATATTAGCTTCAACTAGTGCTACATGGATGCAATCCTACAGGAAACCAAACACAAGATCCAAGTGTTATTATTATTACTAACTGTTCAACCAATTTTATGGCGAATGAGATTCTAACCTACTTCCCGTTAAACATTGTGTATCAAAATCCATCCATCAACCTTTTGTAGATTACTGTTCATCTTGGTAAGGAGTTATCTTTTTTACGGTGGTTTTCTATGGTTACAAGTACTGACACCGTCTTAAATTTTTATAGCTTGATATTTAGTATGATATGTAAGAGGATTCAAACTTCTTTGTTCTATACAAAAGTAGCATTGACACGTCAAGATTTTATTTGCATCTTCCTATATTTGATTATCTGTAGTATGCCTATTGCTTTCATCCATCCATTTGAGCAATCAATAAAACAGCTCACCAATATTGTATGATTGCAGTGACAACGATTGTAAATCAAGAGAAAGCTTTTCAGTATTTCATAAATATTATTAATAAGTTAATTATAAAGTTTTCTGTTCAATTGATTACCAGATCGTTTCGATTGTCAGTGAAATGATAAAAGGCAATTCGTATGGATAACCACCAATCAATTAATAAGTGTCACGATATATTTTCCCTCTAATATAAATGCTTGCAAAATAAAATACTAGTTATTCACGAGTAGTATAGTTAAAATACACAAGTGTCTCCCGGATTTCTGTATCTGTATCAATGAACGTAATAATGTTGAAGCATGTGCTACTTTCTAACATGTCTAGAATAAGGCCTATTTTCTTTGCTGGTGATTAGTTGTGGCCTTTGCACAATGCTATTGCTTGATCCAAAGCTTTTCATTGAAATTTATATGGTATAATTCTCACAATTTACAATTGATTACAGTCAATGAATACTTTACTCGAACCTCATAGCTTCTTTACTGCAATTGTTTTCACATAGCTTAGTGCATTTTCACAATTTTTATTCATCAGATTAACTACTTACGTTGTCTGACTCCTAGTTTTGATTAGATAGGGTAGATTTCAAGCTGACTACAGCTATACTGTTGTCTCCTTAATAGTTTCTAGGTAAGGTTCACAGAAGCCTAATGTGGTGGTAGTTCTTTTTTGATGTCGATTTATCGATCTTCACATTTTGATGCTTAAAAAAAGCAAAACACATGCCTAAAAACTAATTAGTACTCTTATCCGTTCTTTAGATTGTTTAATATAATCTGCTGTTTAAATGATGTGACATTTAACGTTATTTTATTTATTTTTTTATTTTTTTCAGCTTAGAACTATCCTCATTAAATTAGGCTTCCCTGAAGAGTCATTGTCTGATGCACCAGTTAATTTCAATGTAAAACACAATATCGACTGCGATATAATCAGTACATTACTTGTGTCTGGTTTGTATCCAAATATCTGCTTCCATTCAGATAAACGCAAATTACTCACAACTGAAGGTACTTTAGCACTTATACACAAAGGTTCTGTCAATTGCATAAAGGACATCAAGTTCACTTATCCATTTTTTGTTTTCGATGAAAAAGTGAGTGTTCTCAAATGTTAAAAATATTATTTAACATATTTTTAATCGAATAATTATGTACAATAAGTCGTTCGTAATTTATTTATGTTTTCTAAAATGTTACATTTAACTGTACGAAAGTAAACGTTTAGTTTAATTATTGTAAAGTTATCTGGTAACAATATCAAAACAACAGCAAATGCATTATGTTTTTATATTTTAGATTCGTACTCAGGCCGTTTCTTGTAAAGGTCTCACAATGGTAAATCCAATCCAGTTAATGCTTTTTGGTTGCCGCTCTGCTGTCTGGAAGGCTGATGATTCTAATGATAAGGGAACAGTTGTTATTGATGACTGGATTCCTTTCCGTATGAGCTTCTCTTCCGCCGCCCGGATTTTCTCTTTTCGCCCGGCTTTGGAGGCATTACTTGTCCGAACCTGCTTACGACCAGAAGGTGTTACCGATCTTCGAGAAGAGGATCAGCGTGTTATTGATGTATTGCGTCAATTATGTTCACCAGAAGCATTAAACCCAAATGCTAGTTTCGAAAGTATAAACAACTTTGATTCTCCACCGAGGAAAAGGTTCGTTACATCCGGGAATCAACCATTACTCTCTGGTCGATCACATCGTAATAAAGGCTATGAAGATTCATACTCAGATAAACAAGGTTTTGGTCGCTATGCTAATTGTCCCAATCGTTTTATGGATTCAGATCAGGCGTACGATAGTCAATTTAGTTTTATGCAAGACCCTCATCCACAATTTTCCAATCAGCGATATGATCAAGTACCTATCAACCGATTTCCTGGGAACTACATGGGTCCAAGATCATTTGGTGCTAATAATGTAGGAAATAATTTTAATGGGCCAACATGGAACCCCTATGGTGCACCAGCCTATGGTGGATACCCTTATCAACAGCAACAGTTTACAAATGATCGGCCTATGCACCCAAGTCAAAGGCCGTCAATTAGACCCCATTGGAGTGTCCGTTACTAGCTTTAAGTCATGTAACTTAGTTTCGCCAAGTGGTTTTAATTGTATCTAAGTGTTTCAAAGTTGGATTCGTTTTTGATAATGTTTGATAATTTATGATACTTTTAAACGCATTTTTATATATGTTGCATCAGTATTCCAATCTAATCTGATGACATTCGTTTCTCATTGGCTTTCTTTTTATTGACTAGTCTTCTTTTGAAGCTTAAAACCTTGTTTTTATGCACCATTATGCTGTTATCATCCTAATATTCTTATATTCCTCTTAGTGTGTATAATTCATTATTTGAGAATAAAAACTACAATTAACTCTCCTGTGTCGATTCCATTAGTGAAGGTTTGCTTTATGGTCCTCAGGGTCTATCATAATCATTCACTTAACATGTCTTAATTGGTACACAAGGTATCACTTTCATTCATTTACCAGTTGACTTATGTTATTTTATTTAATCTCGAACACTATAAAACAGCTTGTTACGCCCACTAATATACAGGAGATCATTTTGTCTCGATGTACTTAAAAAGCCTTGACACGAAGACCATCTAGTTAACTTTAACCAGTAGTGCGTGAGTTCGTTGTAACTTTACAGCCTTGGACAGACAGAAGGAAATTATTCTATCACCGGATAGGCTAGCAAGCGAGAGCAAAGGCTAATTGACTGGAACACTACTCGATTTATCCCTGATTTGGTTAACGAAAAAGGTTCCATGAATAAATACATACTTTGCAAGACCACAGTGCACGAGGATTTAGAAAAATACAATTATACCGAAACTAGCCGTTTAGAGTAAAAAAATGGAGTTTACGGGTTCCGTCTAAGTTACAATTACTTTAGAATAAACCTGAGTATTGCGGTGAACTGTACAACTAACGAAAGCTTACGATATATGGAATCTGATATGAACAATAACTATTAGTATTTTTCAGACCTCGAATCAGGTTCAAATTTTCCCAAAATAAGCTTGCGTTGTTTGTCACTGCCTCTTTATTTCCATTTGTATAACACAGCTAAAATCTAAAAAACCCCTTTGTAAACAAATCGTGGGTCAGGCCCTCATTTCAAACCATTTCCAACATAAATTCAGTCAGTTACAACGTAGAAATTCGTACGTAAGTACATCAGTTCAGGTTGCCATACCACACTAGCACACAGACGCAATTGTCAGTTCAAATCCCATAGTGGTAGCGATAGTAGGAGTATTAGCAGTAATCGTTTTGAAGCCATACAGTTGGACAGAGCGAACTGCGCAATAGACTCGTCGTTTGGTTAACGAACGTGTATCTCGCCTAAACCATAAGTGACGCAAGTTGACGAAAGTCAATCGAGACTTCTGTATCCGTTCAGAGATTTTGTCACACACCGGTCCATCAGCACAGATGAGACTTTCGAGATAGGTGAAGCGTTCTACACGTTCGACTACTTCACTCCCTTTCACTAGTTCGGGTGCCGACGCAAGCCATTTTTGAAGCGAAATTTTGCATTTCGAGGGTGTGAACCGCAACCCAAACATGCTTGCATTGTTGTTGAGGGAAGTCACCGGATTCAGAATTTTGTCAGCGTATTAATCAAGTAGAAGTGTGTAATCGGCATATTCTAGGTCAACAAGTGAATCTGCTGGTACAAGGTGCACCCCTGAAAAGTCTGACGACGATAATGTTAACTCTGAAAGCATGTCTATGACAAAGTTAAACAAGAAATACTACTATTGTGTGGCGTCTGAACGTGTGTCTATGTTGTAGGACTTGGCGCAGTGTGAATATCTGGTCTATACATACACGTCCAAGTGTGAAAGCAGCCTGGTTTCTCTGGTTTGCTCTTCGCGAGCTCTAGTTAGGCGTTTGATGATAATCGAGGCTAACAATTTATGAACTGTATTAGTTAGACTGATTTCTCTGTGATTGTCACAAGAGGATTTTTGTCCTTTCTTGTAAATTGGAGCAGTCAGCGACTGAGACCAGTTGGATGGGATTGTGTCCAGTTCCCAGATTCTACCTAAGATCCCAGTCAATCTAGCTGCTAAAACTGGATCATCATTGTTAGAAATCTCAGTGGTCAGTCTATCAGGCCCTGCTGCTCTCTCTCGCTTCAAATTTCTTATGGCTTTCTCAACTTCATAATGACTAGGAGGACTTAAATCGACTTACTATTTAGGATGACTGGAGATCATGGGCAACCGACGTGTGGATGATAGGCAGTTGAACTGAGCTGCGAAGCGTCTGGTCATCGATCTTGGATCTCTTGGATTTAGAATGAGTCATAAGCCCATTATTTCCTGAGATAGTTTCGCTAACAGATGGGTTTCTGATACCGGTTTCCTTGCTGAAACGGAAAAAATGTCTACTGTTGCCTATCGCCACTGTCTTTTCCATCTCCATTGCTTTCATTACTCACCACTGTTGACGATCATTGCGTAGGCTTTTTATCAGCCTGCACTCAAGCTGACTTCTCTCTTCATCATGTTCAGAGCCAGGTGGGATGAGTTTACGAGCGTCTATTAGTTCGGTGGATGCCACTGAGATCCATGGATTCTCTCTAACCTTATGGTTTACTTTACTAGCAGATATAACTTCTGTTTCCACAGCTTTTTTGACATCACTCCAAGCTGCCTCGGGATAGGCATCATTTACTACATGCCGCTTAACTTTTTTTCTCATTGTTCCTGAAATATTTTCGTAGCTCTGCTATTAGTAGGTAGGTTATTTGCCGTGCCTTTCCTACGTCCAGTTAGTCGCACTAGAGCATGATCTGAATCTAGACATGTGCCCCAGAACGAGTGACAGTCCTCTGTCGAACGCGTCCTTTGGTGGCTGATGGCGCTGTGATCTGGTTGTGTCCAGTGTTGTGTCAGCTTTGAGCGTCGCCAGCTGAAGAGATGTTTTACCTTATGCCTAAAGTCAGTGCTTGGTAGAAGTAGGTAGTTATCTGATCATACTTGCAACAGACGGTCGCCATTATCTGTTCGATTAGCCGTGACACCACAAGATCCACCTAGGTTTCTTTCCTTTTCACTCAGTTGACCTACTTGAGCATTGAAGTCACCAGTATTATATCAGAGCGCTTAACGTTTTGGAGGGGGTTTGGGAGGTTTCTGTAAAACGTATCGTTTATGTTGTCTGAACTGCAGTCAGTGGGAGCATAGGCAGATACGAAGAAGAGGCGACGGCGAGTTTACCTATCCTTCCTGTTCAGTCGGACAGCACACAAGCGACTATCTACTGGGATCCAGTTCAGGAGTGCTAGTTCTGCCCTAAAACTCATTGCTATACCTACGCCAGCGAGACCTCGGGAAGCACCATCAGAGCTTCCAGATACACGAAGGGTAAATCGAGTTGCTTCTTTATCTTCACATGTTGACGTCAGATAAATGTCGCTACTCAGATCCTATATGCGCGTTTCGGAGACGCAGCATACATCGACTACGTGAGATTCTAAAGTCCTAGCTAAGGAAACCTGTTGTCCTGTTTTACACAATGTCCGTACATTAAAAGCTCAAACATGTAGTTTAGAACGGGGTTTCAGGAGACCAGTAATAACGTTTCGTTTGGATTTGTGGTGCAAGGTGCCAAAGGGATGTGAGAATGGTCATGAAGGTAAACAGGTTATTAGAAAGTGAAGGAAGGATTTGACTGTGACCAATTAGGTCTCGTGTGCTGTTACGAGAATAAGGACGGATGTCACTTCCCCGGCTGCCCGAACCGTGGAAGGTTCTTTCGTGAAGAACCTGAAAAGGAAGGTAGATTAGCGTTGGCCTTAGAGACCTATGAGTGTAATAGCAGAGCCCAAGGGACAACTGCTTGAGGCTGGTCATGCATGGCCTTTTTATGAGAAGTTTTTTGAGTGTTAGCCCTGCTCTTGTTTAACAGGCCTTACCGCCGGCGACAGAAATCCATGAGGTAAGGTGAGGTGTGACATTCTTACGGTCGACCTATACTGACCCCTTCCTTCCTTGTGAGAAGGCAACATCTCTGTAGATGCTGGTTGTCCGAGGGAAATACCTTACTGCTATCACACCCCTCTGCAGTCAGCAGTACGACTTCTCCCTCAGACCTTGAGTTGCTGCTTTTTAGTCTCGTCGTTCTCCAATCGTCCTGCCTGGCATGATAGGACCTATAAGAACATGTGCTCCAGCCAATATAATTCGGTCGGGTCATCACAATGGGCAAGCCCGACAAACACGTCAAGGTAGTAGCTAATGTAAGGACAAGCTGTCTACTGTAGCCATCATTTTTCCAATTTTGTGACTTATATTTTCCATATGGTTGTTATACATTTAGTTCTAAGTTACCAATTTAAAGTGATAATACAGAACTAAATGTATGTCAACTAAGAAAATAAGTAAAAACGAGGCTAGTTTCAAACCTAGATGTGGATGTATGAGGATCAAATATTCACCATTAGCAAGGTTTTGGAGCATAGAGATTCCTACCGATTCCTAACCAATCTTAGTTTTAAACCCTAAGTTAGCCTTTGACTTCGTAGATCAACAGGTTTCAAGGCAGTGTCTGTTATTGAAAAGCATATCAAAAAGTACATTAACCTTTCACAGACAGATCTAACATTACGGATCAAGGCAGTCTATACCGTATTGTCATGGGGCTTAACTCCAAGTAGTATTCGTCAAAACTGTCACCTACCTATTTCTATTTAAATTAGTCATAATCATTCTTCTGGAGATCGCTTCTCGTTTGACTTATCAGAGTTCGATCTACTGGGCAAATCTCTTGTTAGCTATGAATACACATGATATAGTCCTGTTTGGTCAAGATGCTGATGCACCTTGCTGGATGGCAATGCTAGCGCGTTCAAGAGGCGACTCTCTCCCTCCGAATCCAGGACTGATCTTCAATGCCTGGACTAGCGATAAGGAGTAAGACAGTCGGCCTGACTGAATGTTTCACTTTTTTCAGAAGTCTTATCGGCCCTGATTGGTTGGTGTCTGACGAGATCTCGGCACAAACCTAGAAAGTTCGGTTAGCGTTCGCTAACTTGTAGAGTAGGTGGAATACCTGTCTGTCAACTAATGAGAAAGTATACTGCACAACAGTTTAGTCGATCTTGTTTAATGGCCGTGAAACATGGTCTTTAAAAGTAGGGAATATTTCGGAAATCACCGATCGTTGAACAATTGCTCTTGTATTTTGGGACAAAGTTTGCTACCCTGGGGTACAACACAGAGTATCAACAAGGATGATAAGTAGATTTACGAGGTAGTAGAACACTGCCAATTGAGGTGGTCAGGAAAAGTATTACGTGTGGTCACCCACTGACGACTACCTCGCATGATGCTGACTGGTATAGGAGGAATTGGTAGGGTTTTGATGGGAGGATTAAAATTATATTTGAATGTATAGTTGTGATTTCTCGTTGCTGAGTAAATCTATTGTACTACCAAAAACTATATTTTGCTTGCTGAGATTCAAAGAATCTTCAGTTGATGACATTAAATCGTGATAAAAACTGTCAGCGAAAAGTGGTGTAGTTCAATTATTTGTTGTTACATTCAAAAATTTATTCCGAATTCAGTGATGATGAAAGTAATGATTAGGCAAATAACAAACCTTGGAACTTCACATATGAGTGATTGTGTATCAATGAAATGAAATTTTAAAATATCAATATGTACTCATAAAAATTGTTTATAAGATTTGAAATATGTTCACCCAGTCAGTTTAGTGCCTTCACCTTCCTTTCTTTTTTACAGTTCTGCTGGCACTGTGAAATAAAACAAGAGAAAACACCATCAAAAATGAATATATTTTCATTAATATACTGAGTACTATCATAAATTTTTACTGTCCGGTTCAGCTACTGATAAAATACCTTAAAATATGAATCGACATAACTAGATTGAAGAGAAGACTGTTCAATAAGAGACATTTTAAAATTCCAAATAAAAATACATGTAGTTCATCTGACCCTATATCTATATGAATTATGAGTACAAGTATCCGTTTGGTAATATGTTTAAATTACATAATCACATACCTCATATAATTTCATCTGATGTAACATTCAACTCCATCTGAAGACCGAATAAAGGAGGGTTGGGAGTGGCCTATGCAGCAACAGGGCTTCCAGATAAACCAACTTTAAATTAAGTGGGTTCTTTATCGTGAAAAATTAAGGTCAAATGAATGATTTTATTCGGATTCTGTATGCGCGTTTCGGAAACGCAGCATACACCTGTAGTGTCTCGACTTTTATGAAGAGAACGCGATTGTTTTAATAGAAACATTCATTATTATAACCAACTGTATCAGTGATTGTTTTACTATACTCTTTGTTTATTCGTACTCTGTACGCGCAAACTTTCTGTATGTGTTGCTGTTATTTTAGTTATACTGGTCGCTCCAACTTCGCCCTCTTTCTCTGGCACGATTTCGGTATTCCTTCGATACCACGAAATCGTCAATGTGGAATAATCAACTGAATGGAATCCACACTGTATATCAACTCATCAGCAGTGCGCATCCACGACTCCTGCACCTCGCAGGATTCGAACCCGAGACCTTCGGTATTGTACGCAAAACGCTTGTCCATCGGACCCCTGAGCCGGCACCCAACGGTGGTGGATGCGCAGTGCTGATGAGTCCTATACTAGGACGAAACGGCCGTCCAGTCCTTCCAGGTTTCTAGTAGTGGTCTAACAATGATTGGTTGATTATTTCAGATCTTCTACAGAAAAAAAAGCAAATAAACTAAATCCTGATTGAAATACAGTTATGAAGATCAATTATCGTTACAATAAAACCTTGAACAATAACACCTTTATTTTATTTGATATTTTAGAAATTACTCATCAACTCTAGTATTTTTTATATAACTTTTTTCTGTCAAATAAAATTCCTTTTAGAAACGATATAGTAATTTGAATGATTTTTGTTATACCTACCATAATCATTTAGGTGAATCACTTTGAATGTTTGATTTACATTTCGATAAGCTTGCATATCAACATGACAAGTTAACAATTGCCAATGATGTGTATTTGTTAATTGTATATTGGCTGTTGCTGTTGATGTGATCAGACCTGTTAAATTTTAATGGAGAAAAAAAATAATTGAATTTTACAAGTAATAATCTGAGTATTTATAGTTTGCTATTAATTGAGGTTTCAATCAACCATAACTTCCAAGATAGATAATCCAAGAAAGTATAGTTTTAGTTTTAAACTGAGACAAAAGATAATCTATACTGGTACTGGTTAATTCTGAAGTATTAATATTTTTTTATTGTTAATTATGATTAACATAACGGGGTTGTGAAGATTGTTAAGTTACACATTTTTGAAACCATGAATTGTTGTGCAGTGCTGAGGAGTCCCATACCAGGATGAAACGGCCGTCCAGTGCTTCCAGGTTTTTAATGGTGGTCTAACATTGATTGATTTATGGTTTCAAAAATGTGTAATTATGATTAAATCATTGCATACAGTTTATAAATTTATTTCATCCACAGCATTAATTGGTCAAGTCATTGCATAAACACTTCATCTCCAAGTTTTGGAAAAAGCTAAATAAATTGATTGTTTATCAAACAACATTTATGTAAGCGTTAGACAAACTAACTTTTAACAAGCTTTTAATATCAATTGGTGAAGTATCGTCAAACTATCTACTCTATAAAATGTGACTGAAAAAAATAATTGTATACTATCTGTTAGGATATTCATCCAATATCCTAAGAGAATTATTGGTCAAATCCTATTGGTCGACTTTTATTGGTCAAAATTATGGTCGTTTTAACTGTCAAAGTCAAATACTTCAATGTTGTCTCTTATTGGTCATCCGGACTGTCAATGTCATTTCAAATGTTACTTCCTATTGTTCGTCTTAACTGTCAATGTCACAGACTTCGATGCTGTTTCCTATTCGACCACGCATTATCTGTAACAGTTTATGACCAGGACCCGGTCTTGGATCCCTAATCCGGGATCCTGTTTCTCTTTTGGATTCGGACCTCGTACTTTCTGAATGCTTGTAGAATACAGATTCTACTTCATATCATGTCTTCTTATTTTCACTGAAAATGGGGGCTGGGATAATTGGATTTGAGCAGCATGTCGTGTCACCGGATCCTCGATCCTCCCTCTCGTTTTCCAACTAGGTAAACTCGTGATATTTCAAGTATATCAAGTTGACGTGTATACGTGCAGGCGTAACAATACCACACATTGATTGTTCAATTTATCGACAAAATCACAAGTCATAATAAAAAGTATACAAGTATATCATGTACTCCTCAGTGAAGAAAAGATATCAAAATACAATTGGAAGCCAGATTTTTGTTTGTACAATTAATTTCATTGACATTCCCTGATTTCACTTGTATATCTTTGCATTATGGACTCATGCAATTCTTATTTTTAATTCTGAGTCTTTATTCTCCTCCTAAAGTGTAATTTTTTTTCAATTGACTTTTCTTCAAGTTTTGTCAGATCATTTACAATCAATAATCATTAATTATCTACTTGAAACTTTTTTTTGCTTCATGTGATTTTTAATTGATCTGATTGGTCAATTATTAACTTATTTTTATCCATTGGCAATAAACGGAACAACTCATTATACCAAATGTATACAAACAGATAAATAAAATTCTTTTTTTATCATTATTGAATATTTAACGTCAATAGCGATTTAGAATTAATGCCAGGAAGATTTTTTTTTTCACTGAAATATTAATTAGTGATCTAAAGAAAAAGTATTCATTAAGTATGATAATTTCATACTTATCAATTTATACCAAATTCAAGTATAACTAATGTAGCTGTATTACTGCCAATCAAATGTAAGACAGTAAACTTATTATTACTTGATAACTTTATTGTTTCAAGATGAAATATATAATTGTAAAGAATAATTGTTGTGAATTTTTTTTATATATTCTATGGTTATTCTGTTAACGAAAATTGCCATCTAATGAGTATTATTTGATTCTGTGCATACACATTCGAAGACTAAAAACAAACTGCACATGTTTCCTTCATGACTAATAATCGGTCATAATTATGTTTTGTAAACAAAAATGATATTTCATTGATAAATAGTAATATTTAACATGTATATATATATATATATATATATATATATATATATTGAGCATAATTAAATTTGAAAACTAAAACAAACGTTGTCATAGATACCATTCAGCTTAACAATTATTATTTGTGTACTTGAAACTAGCTTGAAAATATATCTCTTGCTAGTCTATTAAAATATCATGACGAACAAAATGGACCAAGTTTGTGATGAGAAACTTTCACGAATGGTACTGAATAGTTGTCATACTACGGAGATCATACATAGACTGAAGTTGAAAATGTCAACGATCTGTTCGGAATCTCTCGGGGGAGATCTAAATCCAGATATGTTGAGGAGTAATTTTAAACTATGATGAATTTTCATTAATTCTTTATTTAACCTTAATGTGTGATAAAACTTATCCTTCAAAATATACTTATGTAGTAAATACACAGAAATTGTATGAAAACAAACTCGTATGTGATTTAATGAAGTCACTGTTTCTTAACAATTTCATTCTCAGAACGTATACATATGTTTATTACATCTATCATATTACATCGACTTATCAGATTTATTTATCACGGTTTTGTGCATTTTAGACTCATATTTTTTGGCACAATTAGTCCTACTATCAAGTGTAGATTGTGTAATGATCATACATTATTGAAAACATTCATATACATGAAAATGAAATCATTCAGAGAATAAAATGATTTATACTAGTTTTTATCCTTCTACATCTTTGATTCTTATCCTACAGATTCCTTCAGATGACCTTTATTTTTTTCATATATAAATAAATATTTTAACAAGTAAATGGTTCATTGAACTGTCTTAAGTGTATTATTACATGAATATATCGTATAGTTCTGATCAACTTCATCTTATTCAATTATCATTTAGTTTTATTAAAACAAAAGAAGAAGAAAATGAATGGTATACTTTGATTGATTAATTCATTTTGGTACCATATTTGGATTAGTCGTTGTTACTATTATGATTCGTAGGTTATTGGTATTTGATTATAGATATCTTGAAAATATTGTTCGTGTGGATTGGAACTACCGAGTCAGTAATGTTGAGATTAAACTCAGTGTACTAAGTGAAGGTGTAGAAACAGTTGAGGAGTTATTATATGTTTACCGATCGAGGTGGTTGGAGAATATTGGATATGCCAGACTACCTCCTACTTCTATAAGTAATTTTACCTCGTGTAGTATTAGGCTGAAGTAAATCTATAGGAGGCCAAACCATTATGGCACCGATCCATGAAGTTATTGATAACTAGAGTGAACCATGCATGTATGTGCAGACTACCTGATTAGGGTCCATTAGATAATTGTAATCAATTGTTTTAGACGCTAGATGGTATGGTTCGGAATCTGCCACAGTAACAGACACACCTATATCCATTTATATCCATATATATATATATACAGGAAGTAATCTTTTCACCAAACTATTCTTTCAGGACTTTACTTAGTTAAAATATGTCTCTTTTTGTTTTCATTTATTTATTCCTTATTTAACTGACTGTTAAGATGAAACAAATCATGTGTTCACAAATTTAATAAAGAAATGACAATCCTTTTGAAAAAACAAAAAACAAATTTATGCTAAAACAATTTCAGTCAGTTTATTGATTGAATCTATGTAACTAAAGCAGTATGAATGAATATTGAGTGTTTTTTTAACTCATTAAAAAAAACACTGAATATATCAAAAATAATAATCATAACTAGGTACTTCTTAAGTCAAATTTATACTGACATGACTATTAATTAGGCAATCTTTTTATTGTCTCCTACATATGATTACTTTTGATAAATTATAAAACTTAAAACAATTGATATGTGTTATATTGGTGTATATTTGAATTGATGGGCACATTTTTTACTGAGTTTTTCCATGGCAGTAAACAAATCATTCAGTGATCATATTGTGGTGTGTGCTACTTATACGAACGATATAAGTAGTATAAGAAGGGACGTGAAAGAAGAAGTCTCACAGTCAGAAGAGGAAAACGGAAAGCAAATGGAGCAAAAGCAAGAAGTAAATGGAGTACCAACAGTAAGGAAAGGAAGCAACAACAGGAATGGAAGAAGGATGGAGCGTTGGAAGTCACGACTCAAAGATGGTGTGCAAATAGATTATTCAATGTAACGTTTCCGTTTTTAACTAACTCAGAGTGTAAATACTTTGTATTGCTGTATTGATATTCTTTAACGCCCTAGCAACTGGAATACATAGCTTTCAGTGAAAAAATTAAAAAATTGAGGAAGTTTCGTAAGTCTAACTGTCAATTAGTTTTGAGCGGAATTGGAATGATAGGATTTGTGGTCTCAGTAGTTTCATTCATTTGGGTAATTAGTTTGTGGTGATGTTTCGTTCTTTGAGCTGGGTATTTTGGTTGTGAAGCTTTCTCTGCTCTTCTGAACAATACCGTCAGCACAAATTTCGGATAGAAGTGAAGTATTCGAATTTCTGCACTTTTGACCTGTAGCTTGTTCTGCTAACCTCGATCTTGATTCGTTGCTGTTGACCTTAAACCTGTCGTTGTTTGTACCTGGAGAGATTCTAATACTTCACTTACATCTGAAGTTTGTGCTGATGATGTTGTTCAGAAGAACAATAAAAGCTTCACAACCAAAATATCCATCTCAGAGAATGAAACGCCGTCACAATCATCCACCTGAGCTACAAATTTTCTCCACCATCTAAAAATCGTATAATTAGTTTACTACTCAATTCCTTGTTTCTCATAAGTAGTATATAAACATATGTTTTTCATTGTGAATAAACCTACAAAAATTAATCAAAGATATTAAAAATCCAGTAGTCAAAAATCTATTTTAGACTTTACAAGGTATTCAGTTGTTATGAAGAAAGGAAGCAAAGGATGACTGCCTGATTCATGACTTTTATTTTCATCCGTGATTATTCATTTAATAACCGACCAGTTATACCATTTTCATCGATGATTTTGTTTATAAATGACACTTCTAATTCTTGAATACATATTCACAGATTCAAGTAATTTGGTTTGGAATTTCGTTTTATGAGAGCTATTCGCTTAGGACTTTGACGGTCCAATTCTATAATCAAATGATTACTTCAACCACGTTGAACATCCTAGTGATTTGATCAGTCAGTTTGAATAGTTATGAAGAGATTTTAATGATACAAAAAAATTCACAAAGAATAGACAAAAGAGATAAACAAATAAATTTCTTTGAAAATGTTAGCATATTCACCCAATATCCTAAGAGAATTGTTGGTGAATTCCTATTGGTTAATTCCTACTGGTCAATTTTATGGTCGTCCTAGATATCAATGTCACGTGCTCCAATGTTGTTTCTTATTGGTTGTCCTGACTCTCAATGTCACTTCTAATGTTGCTTCCTATTGGTCGTCTTAGCTGTCAATGTCACAGAATTCGATGCTGTTTTCTATTCGACCAAAATGCATAAATACGCATTATCTGTAACGTTTTATTACCCGGACCAGGAGCCGGTCTCGGATCCTTCGTCCGGGATCCTGATTTTCCTCTGGGTTCGGACCTCGTACTTCTGGATGCTTGTAGAATACGGGTTCTACTTCACATCAAGTCTTCTTATTTTTACTCAATATGGGGGTCGGGAATTGAGTAGCATGTCGTATCGCCGGATCCTCGATCCTCCCTCTCGTTTTTCGACTAGGTAAACTCGTAATAGTTCAAGTATATCAAGTTGACGTGTTTACGTGCAGGCGTAACAGAAAACAAGGTTGACATCGATTCATTTATATTTAGCTGTGAAAATCGGCGTCCTCCAATGTTGATTAATATAATTTCTAAAAATGACTGATAACAAAACATTCATTAAATTTCATTGAAATATTGTTTACAACGTATTGTAAGGTCAGATTGTAGATAGCTTTGAAATCCTGGACGTGCTATTCATCCTATTTCGGATTTATCAGTTGAATGTTTGTACATCCAAGTGTACATGTTCATATACGGGTTCGAACTGAGTATCTTTTGTTTCGAATGTCAATGAGCTACCCATTGAACTTCTGAATCTAGTTACAAATAAACTTGTTCGACCGATAAGTAGTTATAAATATAAAGATTATGGTATCCTATTTTTGATATGATAGACTTTGTGTTAGCATATGTGTTTCCTGTTCGATTGGCTGCGATAATGCTTTTTATTTGGCAATCTTAGTAAAATATGTAGTGGAATACATTTAGGAAGAGAACGCGATTAGTGAAACGGAAACATTTATTATTGTAACCGATTGTACCAGTGATTGTTTTACTGTACTCCATTGTTTATCTGTACCAGAAACCATCATCTTCCTGATCACGTGACCCTGACATTGCTCACGTTGCCTCGGTAGTCTCACCTGTAATATTTGTTTGGATCTTGATATTCTTTCTATATCACGAGATCACCAACAAATATACCTCTAACTCCAATCATGACTGGTATTTTGACTTCTGGCTTTCAAAACGGATTTAACTTGGTTATTTCGCGGTGCGTAGCTGAAATTCCCTGTAAGTATACATTTTATCTAAACTGATTCATACAAGTTTATTATGAATAACAATTAGCCATGAAATAAAGAGATGCAATGACATTATTTGTATTACTATTGTTATTGACTAACCTTCAATATCTACTTTTTGTACAACTCTTGCCTCGGAAATAGGTAGCCCACCTAAATTCAAACGAATATGTGGTGCAGGTTTGCCAGCACGTGCTTTACATTCAATATAAGTACGTTGACCGACTGATAAAGCAGTTTCATTATCTATGTGTAGTTCAAGTTGTCGTATAGGATCTAGTTAGGCAGTTAAAATATAAGAAAAAAGAGGAATGAATTCTATTCAAAGAAACAAGGTTTAATTTACAATGTACAATATTATAAAAAGCATACAGTATCTTGTAAATTATGAATGCATACAAGAATCCTTGAATGAATACAAAATTCATAAATAAAGTAAAATTGTTTTTCCATACAAGTTTTGTTAGAGCATTTAAATAAATTCTAGCAAAGTGTGAAGATTTAATTTATTTTATTATCTGTATAAATCTAATTGATAATAAATGAATGTAGCTTCAAAGAGCAAATTTACATTGAAAATGAATGATAGTTATCCGGTTTTGTTGAACATTTTGATGAAGTTATAAATATATATCGTTATTAGTTAAGATATCAAATAGAAATTCTCAAGTGAGTTACTGTGGTGTGAGCTACTTATAAGTAGTATATCACGTGAGTGTCAACGTAATGTCTGGTAGCAGAAAATGGGGGAAGATCAAGAAAGGAAGAGTTAGAAAACAATGGAATTTGTATGAAATGCATGAATAGTGACAATGGATTGATGTTTGGCAACAGGAACAGTCCAGTTCGATATGATGGACTGATATTTTACAAATTAACGATTTACGATATGGTTTTCCAATTTTACTGAGTTACTCTGTAATTTTCGTCAAATACAATTCGGTTGCCCTCACCTGTGTTCTCCTTCACTACATTACTATTGAACTTGATTGTTCTGTTTTCGGATGTAATACAATTTCTATCATAAACTGATGTCAACTGAAGAATCAGTGAAAATGAGCTGAAAATAAGAACTACTAAATTATGACTCAGTAGTTCAAATGTATTATGATCTCTTCAAGAGATTTAAAAGTTTCATGGAGTTTGATTCCATATAAGTTTTCGCATCTGTAGTACTAAGTTTTAGATCTGAAACTAGAACAATACAAAAGCTCACAGCTCATTGATTTTCAACAATTTTCTAGTTGACCTTAGTTTGTGATAGAAAGTATAGTTTGAGATAGTGATGCTCCATCACTCACGAAGATAAATCTAGTGAATTTAAGATCTTTGACTAAGCTAGTTCAATCAATAAGCTTTCTTTCATTGTCTTTTTAGAATTTCTTGACAATCAACTGATAGCTCATATTTTCAGCATCAAACGAGTTTAGTTGTTTCCAGCATTAACTCTGTCATTTTTTTTCACATTTATTTTGATTGTTTTGATTCCTAACATGATTCTCTGTATTAAACTTGTTTATCCCCAAGAAAATTTTCATTAAACTCGTCAACAAGTACAAGGTAAAACGTAAAAATCGATAAACAAACCATCTTACTATGGATGAACGATATGAAAAAAAGTCAAAACCGAATTAAAGTTGTTTGGAATAAGCCTAGTTCATGAGCTAGTAAAAGGGCTTAAATCTTATGGAAATCGGGAGGTGAAATGACAAAGGTAGACAGGTTGAAAAGCATCTGACAAAATTTGTTTCAACTCTGAAAAACGTTACATTGAAGAAAGTGATCACCATCTTTACCTGAGTACATAAACAGTTGATGATATTCAATGTTAACAGAGAAAGCTATTAGTTAATTATTCAGGAAACATAATAGCTCACTTCCACCTGAAATTTGTGCTGATGTTTCTGTCTAGAAAGATAGTGAAAGCTTTACAGTTAATCCACCCAGATCAGGCAATAAAACTCTGCCAGGAATTATATTTAGTGTATGTAACTTTCCAATTAACCACCAAACTATGGATTTCAGGATGACTAGAAATAACTGTCCATTATAATTCAGTTCTTATTATTGATTTTAGAAGTGCATAAGGTATGTTAATTTATAGACATCTAAACTAAGTTCAGGTTTGTTTACTTGAAAAAGTTCAGGCATTAGTTAAATGATTTCTTTGATAAACCTACCGGCACTTGATAATGGGACTTCATCAGTAATGAGGTATGCTAATTGTTTTTGATTAGACAGGAACTTGATAGTGAATAAAATAATTTTCATATTTAATCAAAAAATATGAACATATACCGTTATGAATAGAATTTATCACAGATTAATCTCATTTTGGATACCAGTGAAAACCAGTGGTCACTAGAATGATGCTTTCCCCTATGTCAAGGATCCATCAGAAATGCACATCCAGAATTGAGCGAGGGCTCAAACTTAGGAGCTACAGATCCTGCGGTTAATGTTGAGTTACAGTTACACCGGAGTCGGCTCCCAGTAACACTTCAAATCCCTATTATCTTGTGATTTAGGAATCATGTGTTCGTTCAATCTAAGTCCTGCACTATAGTAGGGGTATTCTACATTCACAGTGTATATATATATATATGCGCCTAGTCTTCGATCATTCATTTGTATCGGTTGTATGTTTTACAGTCCAAGTGAAGGACTTTTCTTCCTCTCGTGGAATCCAAATATTCTGGTTATGCTGTGCACTTTTGTAGTGAAGGAGAACACAGGTAAGGGCAACCGAATTGTATTTATGGGAAATTATAGAGTTAATTGGTAAAATAGGAAAACCATATCGTAAATCGTTAATTTGCAAAATATCAATCCATCATATCGAACTGGACTGTTCCTGTTGCAAAACATCAATCCATTGTCTGACATTTCACTGTTCATGCGTTTCATACAAATCCCATTGTGTTCCCGTCCTTACTTTCTTGATCTTCCCCCATCTTCTGCTTCCAGACATTACGTTTTTACTTGCGTCATATACTACTTATAAGTAGTGCGCACCACACTTTGATTTCCTGGAACTCTTCTCTTTGTTAGCAATTTTTAAGCGGCTCTCCGCTGCATACAACTGATAAGTAAGGATGAAATATTTGTCCAGTTCTCTCCATTTTTCAATAGTATTCTGAATGAAATCAGTCTGTAACGAATATTACTTACAAATCAAACTAATCGTCAACTAAATCCCTCAATAAAAATGCTTTATAACTGTTCTTCGAGAAAGTTTGAGAGAAATATCGATATTTACTCAATAGATCATACGGTAGTTCATTTAATACAAAACTTCTAGGGGAAATTCATTTAAATCATACAATTTTTCTCATTAAATATTAGTGAATTTTTTCGAATGAATTCGTGTGATATTTAAACATTTCATGGATCATTTACATTTCCAGTACATTTTATAAATACTTATATATTAATCGTTGGCATAAAAGAAAATTCTCTTTAAAAAAGTATAAAATTGATAGAAATTCACTTTTTACCAGCAAATATTTCAATGAAGATAAAAAATGGTTGTGAAGGTATCATTTATAAAAGCCGTGAAGTTTCATATTTATACGGAATAATCAATGTGAGGTGATAAATTTGTTTATTTTCGTTGATAAAAAATCACTGGAATATTTCCGGTGTGTAATTCTTAACTACTGGTGTATAATGGATGAATAAATCATCAGACCAACTGGAAATGGTATACATAATAATGAAGATCAACACGATCTCAGATGTGTTAAAGTTTTGAATTAACTTAACCTTAAAGGAACCCAATATTCATTTAGATGAATGCCGGCGATCATATAATATTATAACATAATGCACAAGATGTAGAATCACTTAGACTAGTACCCACTCTGCAAAGTAACCTATAGAATTCTAGTAACATGGAAAGTTTAGACACACAGCTCAGTGGTTAATCACTGCAAAAATATCATAGTCCTACAGGAAGTTAGTTTCTGTGGCATAGTAAAGTGATACCGTTTCAGATTATGAAACCGAAAGACATGGGATTCACATGCACCAGAAAATATCATCCCTCTCAGGACTTTTCTGACGGTTGCCAACTAGTATAAACTTAAGTCTCCTACGCATGACCTCCAACTAATTAACACCTCGACAATCATGACGAGGTCATATGATCCTAAATTAATTATTATTGCATATGACTTCACAAAAGATTAAATTGTATTAATTTCAGTGTTTTCGATAAATTGTAAAATTATAAGGTATGTAGAATAATAGTCCTGTTTATATTTGAATGTCTCATTAATTTATACTGAAATCTTTTTTAGAATTTGACTATAATTCAAAGGTCTTATAAATAATAAGCTTACATTGTGATGCACGTTACTTATAAGTAGTATATGACGCGAGTAAAAACGTAATGTCTGGAAGCAGAAGATGGCGGAAGATCAAGAAAGTAAGGACGGAAACACAATGGGATTTGTATGAAACGCATGAACAGTGAAATGTCAGACAATGGATTGATGTTTTGCAACAGGAACAGTCCAGTTCGATATGATGGATTGATATTTTGCAAATTAACGATTTACTATAAGGTTTTTCTATTTTACCAATTAACTCCTTAATTCGAGATAATTACAGTTCGAGTGCCCTCACCTGTGTTCTCCTTCACTACAACGGTATTCTAATCATTCATCAACTTTATAATAAAAATAAAATTAGAATTCACTCACATGAAACAAGAATATAAGCTGAAGCTGTATCACTTTCAGAATCATGATGAATAGTTTTACATTTGTATTCACCAGTATCGACGAAATCAATGTTTGTAACAATAAGTTGACATATTGGTAATAATTTCTCTGTATATTGTCCTATGATAATTTGAAATTTCGGATCACCAAAAGTATTTGTAGTTGTATTGGTTTGAAATAGACAACTTCCAATTTTGTTCTTAAAAAAAATGTTTTTTTTTGAAGTGAAATAGATAAGAACAAAAAAGAGATTCAGATTTATAAATTATATTATTAGATAAATGTATAATCATATTCGGAGATTAAGGTATAGGAATAGTATAATTAGTTTTTAGATCAAAAGTGTTGTTGTAAGTCAAGTAAATGAATTTACTTGTGGTCAGTAAACTACATAATACCATATATCATTTATATATACAAACCACGAAATACCGGGTTAGTGGTTTATTGGTTAAGGGCTCCAAAAAATATTGGAGTCTTAGATCCGAATCTTTTTTCAGGAGGAGTATCCTTGCATTCGGACCAAACAACTGTCCAGTACTTCTTGGTTTTCAATAGTTATCTAACTATGATCAGTCTGTTATGTAAACCACGAAAAATATCTTGATTACCGGTCAAGTTGAAGGAATTGTGCACTTTCTTCCATTTCCAAACAAGCTACTTGAACGAGAAAACATTTGTGCAACTCACTCATCAACATAAAAACATGTAGCTCAAAAAATGAAGCCAGATATTTTACCAGTAGAGTACATTCATTTCTTTAGAAATTGAAAACGAATCTTGACAAATAGCCTGATCTCGTCAGGCTCTTTTATCTATCATTTAGCCTATGTTAGTTTGGGGAAGGTTTATCAAATAAATACAATGGGTAGAAGTGACTTTTAATTTATTTAGCACTGCAACAGTGTAATTCAAGTCAAAATCAAGTTTTCTTCAAGTGTGAGTGATGAATGTTGATTGCTGTAAAGCATTAAAAGACAAGTTTTTGACTCATTTTTAATGAATATAAATCTGAAAATCACTGAATGATTGCACTAATGTGCCTTCAGTGCAGCACCAGCTGAATCTCAGAAGCCAAACTTAATTTTCAAGAGAGAAAGATGATACATTTGATCAGTCAGAAAGTAACTAAATGATAAGTACTTATGATAGGCCGAGAAACAGCTTTCTTCCTCAAAGACATGGATCATTGATAGTTCATTTTTCTACGGGATATATATAGTCAGTAAACTTCCTTCTTCACTCTCATCCTTTTCATTTGAGTAACCGGTTGGTCTTACGTATAAGAAGATTGTGTATCGATATCAACTATTTGACGCTGCACGTCACAGCGTTAGCTGATTAAATATTTTTCTAACTTTTGGAGATAATATTCCGTAATTAGTTGTTTTTTCTGTGCTTATGTAATCCAAATAATTTAGTTAAAACTGACCTACTTTTGTATTATTTATTGGAAATTATTGTGTCATATTTCTGGTGAAATATAAAGTCGTTTAAATTCGGTCTATAACAAAGGTTTACTCGATTGAGTTGTTTTAAGAAAATGCATTTTTTAGTATTGTGTATGCAATTTATTCTAGAAGTTTAAAATACTTCCAGAAGGTTGACAGATGTCTACTTCAACTCACTCTTAGTAGTGAGCTGTTGAAGGCAGTTCGTGTGTTTTGGTAAGTATATGATTGTTGTGAATAGTATAGAACATAGGACTAATCCAAGTATAACATCGTTTTTGGGTCTTTTGTAATGTTAGTAATTATGATCAAATATACACTTCTTCAAATGTGAGTAGCTCGCTTCTATGTTTGTGAAACATTTCCCTTATGAACTGGATATTACCAAGTGCTCTCTGTTTTTTCACTCATCATTATTTACAGATATTCTGATTTAGCGAAAATCCTTTATGCATAAGATTTGTATATAGAATAAATTACCAAGTGTTAATCCCTAAAAATATCGTTTTCTGTAACATAATCTCTTTTTACTGGTATCATATAACATAATGCATTATTCTCTGATGTCGGAACTGAGTAATGAAGATGAAAAACATTTCAGCTTATGATGTTTTTGTAAACTGAAGGATAGATATATTGATTTGTTATCAGTTAACTGTTTGTCAAGATATTCACCAAATATCCTACGAAGAATCATTTTGTAACTGTAAATTCTATGAGTCGATTCCTATCGGTCAATATTATGGTTGTCCTGACTATCAATGTCACTGCAAATGTTTTTTCCTATTGGTCACCTTAACTGTCAATGTTTCCTATTCGACCTAAATGTATAAATACGCATTATCTGTAACGTTTTATGGACCGGACCTGGACCCTTATCCTGAGTCCGGGATCCTGATTCTCTTCTGAACTCGGACCTCGTACTACATGGATGTTTGTAGAATACAGGTTCTACTTCATTTCAAGTCTTCGTCTTGATTCATTTGGAGTTGGGACAATCGGATTAGAGTAGCATGTCATGTCGCCAGATCCTTCACCCTCGCTCTCGTTTTCCGACTAAGGTAAACTCGTAATAGTTCATGCGTATCAAATTGGCATGTTTACATGCATGCGTAATACTGTTCATAGATAACCAGATATGGTCCTAGAAATAATACAATAAAGTAACTCAAGACAAGATTAAATATCAGTTAGATTAAAATCTATTGAATCGTTATGCTGCATTTTCCTCAAAGAATACAATATACCTATTTATTGAATATACTGTAAATCGTTATTCTTCTAAATCAAATGATATCGTTGATAACTTTTTGTTTTATTTTAATGTGATTCTTTATTTCTTTATAATCTTGTTGCTCTGATTAGAAAAAACAGTTTTAGTATAATAAATAAATTGAAAAATATTTATCCTGTTTAAAACATATAGTAAGTAATAGAGCAAATAATTTTTGAAAAAAAAACTGTCATAAAAATAAATTACTTACAGTATTTAAATACCATTCAATAAAAACTGGTGTAGTCATAACACTACATGCATGTTGTATGGTAGATCCAGCATGAGTGATCTGATTTGTTGGACGAAGTACAAAATTACCTTAAAACAAATTGCAAAATTGTCAACTAGTATTTAAGAGTGACTGGTATTCATATATTTTAATTAACTTTAAATTCAAGATATGATTTTTTTGCAGAATTATTAAAAGTATTTATTATACGTCGATAGAAATAAAAAGAATTCATGTGACAGACAGCATGTTTATATCTTCTTTATGTAAAGAAAATGTTAGCCAAATAGATAGATATGCATTTTAATAAGAATAAAAGGTTGACTGATATCATAGGATAGAAAAACAATAAAAACGTCACCATTAATTATGATGGTGTTTCGTTCTCTGAGCTGGATATTTTGGCTGTGAAGCTTTCATTGTTCTTCTGAACAATATCATCAGCACAAACTTCAAGATACAAGTGAAGTATTCGAATTTGTCCATGTATGACCCGTATCCTGTTCTGCCAACCTCGAGCTTGATTGGTCGTTATCTGCCTTATTCCTGTCGTTGTCTATACCTTTATTTTGATTGTATCCCCCTTTGATCTGTTTCTTGATTTTATGTTTGCCTATGAGTGCCTGAGTGTTAAGCTTGAGGCCAATCAGTAATCAACAAACCCATCGACATTGACCCAATTTATCAACCAATCAGAAAAATAATAGGCAAACATAGGATCAAGAAACACATCAAAGGGGGATACAATCAAAACAAAGGTGCAGACAACGACAGGTTTAAGGTCAATGATAATCAGTCAAGATCGAGGTCAGCAAAACTAGCTACAGGTCATACGTGAAGAAATTCGAATACTTCACTTCCATCTGAAGTTTGTGCTGATGATGTTGTTCGGGAGAACAATGAAAGCTTCACAACCAAAATATCCAGCTCACAGAATGAAACACCACCACCACAATCGTCCACCTGAGCTACACATTTTCTCTATCATCTCAACTTCACCATTAAAACAATTAACTTAGAGAAAATAACACTGTTGGGATAGCCAATCGAGAAGAAAGCCACGCACATTGTGGATTGATGAACTATTTGATTAATGTTCAAAATATTTAAACGACATTTATATAATTGTATAAATACGCATGTTTGATTGTATATTTTTGATTCTGATAAGAAGTGTTCTCCAACGTCTTCCGTCTTCTTATTTTTGAACGGAGGGGTCTAACGTTCGGTGTGTCATTGGTACAGTGGTTGGCGTTACATCAAGCACAAAAACATGAAATACATTCAAACAGGTTATAACTATTCTCTAATACTTATTATTTTACATTGAATACGTTAATTTATTTTGTTATTTTCAAATATAAAATGTTCATACATAATTTATTTCGAAATGAAGTAATTTAGTATAGTTAAAAAAGGTTTAATAAAATAAAATTGCAACTTATATCATTATTTTAACATCGAATGTTTTTTATCAAACTCTATGACTGTTTTTAATTAATTTTAAATTTTTCAAATTGAAGAGAATTTTTATTTTATATATTCTTTACTAATGATATCATAAAAATATTTCATTAAATATCTGAAATTGTCATAGAAATTATTTGTACCATTATTCGTAAAAATTTAATCTAGTTCGTTATTAACCATAATAGATTATTGGAAGTAATTAGGAATTCAAGATAATTCAGTGAAGAAAATGTTCTTTCCGACGATATTATTTACTCAAGTTGTATCAGCGTGTTTACTACTGTCTAACATCCGACAAGGATTGAGCTCCATTAGTCATGGCATCTAACTGGAACTCCAAGAATGCCTCTGGATACTAGTCACTAATGAGCATATAACTGTTATGAGTAAGGAGGGTTCATGAAGATTGTATTGTTTTTTCATTATTGAAATCACGAACTGATCTTAACCATCAAATAAACAGCAGCACTGTGTGGCCGTCTCGTTCTAATATGAAACTCATCAGCAGTAGGTATCAACGGTCCCGCCCACCAATGACTAGCTTCAGGATAAGTTCCTAGAGCCCTAGTTACAAATCGTGATCGGTAAAGTTCAATCTGAATCGTAGTTAAAGTCAATTTAACAATTAAGTAATATCATTCAGAAAATAGTGCTTAATAATCAAGAATCAAAGAAAGCCAACGAGTTGAAATCAAATGACTGCAGAATCATTGTCTGCTTGACAAGTATGAAAAGACTAAAGAATAAGTTGAAATTAAAAACTGATCGTAACGAATTATTACAATTAAAATTGTAAACATTAGAAAGATGTTCAGTGATCAAATTAACTTTCATGAAAATTAAATGTTAGCACTATGGAAGATCTATAAATATAATTATACATTTCCGGTAAATCATCTCGTAAACAACATTTACTGAAGTGAATTTTTAAAAAAATTTCTTCAATGATATCATAAATTACTTTCGTTACTGTTTGTCAAACTAAGAATTTACTTTATACTTTATACTGAACACCTACGGACATATCTAGACATCAACTATTGTTACCAGGATTTGTCAATCAATTTTCTTGAAAGTAAATTCGTGAAGCATACAGTTAAGTTATTAAGTTATTAATACACTTTAAAACCAACTTACAATATGCCAAAACACTTCACATTTTAACATTATTCAATAGGTAGTCCAAATTCTTAGATTTTGAAAAAAAAATTCCATAAACAGCTCATTGAACCAGTGGGGATATTTGTGACTAGGAAATTTAATCACAGTGGTTTATCATTTTCCGTTCACAGGATAAATTATCATATATGTGACTATAACATTTGTTCGCATCGATGTTTGAGTCTTTCTGTGTTAGAGTATGAGTTTTCGTGAAGCTTGTCATAAAGCATCAATGACGGTTACATGTTTATGGTAAATGGTTATTGAATTTATTGTTATTATTACTACTATTATGAAATACAACTAATTATGTTTGCTAACTTTTTAAAACATTGATCTACTGATTATTAGTAGATCAATGAAACGTTTGCTTGAAGCTTGATTCAGAATGGAATAATCAGTTGATTTTAACTTTACTGAGTTGTTAATAAAAGGGGAAAAGAAAGTGTAACAAAAGTCATTCAACTTTACTGACAAGAACCAACAACATGAATGATAAGTTTATTGATCTGTTTGCTATTCTTTGCTTCGACATATACAAAGCCTTTAACTTTAAAGAAGGCAAATGTTTATAATGATAAATATTATTGATATGTAATATGTAAAAAGATTTTAAAACTAGACGTAGAATTAATCACTAATATCAGTTTAATATTTCTCTTCTCATACACATTTTATATCTAATCCATTCACTAATAGTTCCACCATAAGTGAATATCGACCTGATGACATTTATGATTGAAAACTTGCAAATTAAGTATGCATTATGCTTTGTTGTTAATAATAATGTTGTTTCTCAAAGCAACTAAAGTACATTGGATTTGTTCAACGTCTTCACTAAATATAAACATATCACTTTTGTGATTTAACTAGATGAAAAGTTTCTTAGGCATAAAATCAATTCTTAGAAAGTTAAACAGAGAAAATCTTGTGACTGAATTTTTGTTAGTCATTATGAAGAAAGTGACATGTCGGAAAGCACTCTAGACTTCCTTCCATCTTATGTACTAAAAAAACCAACAACCTGTCTCTCAAATTATCTAAACTGCAAGTTATCCGTTTATATTTAGATAACCTCAAAGTTCTAAAAACTATTTATGAAGAACAACTGAAAATAAGTAGATTTTTATTAGGCACACATTAGGAGAATTTTTTTGGCAAAAAGTATTTGATAAGTTGACATATTTTCTTCATATGCTTTTTCATGGGGACAACTAAAAAATTAAATATTGTCAATAGACAATCTTTCAAATTCTAAATAACACATTGGCTAGTCAAAGTAAGAATACTACATAACTATCCTTAAAGACTTGTAGTAGATTAACTGTGAGATAATTCTTATGCTTGATAGATCACTCGTCCTGATAACTTTTAACGGTGTATAGGTTTGTAAAAAAACAATACAAAGCGTTAACTATAGTCTATTATTCCACAGTGCAGATCACAAAACCATAAGCACACCAAGTGAGCATGAACGAATATGCGTATGAGAAAGAATGAATCAATAAGATTCTAGGAAGCAAGATATTTTCTGATCTAGAATTAAGCTAGTAGTAGTGAAAAGTAAATGATCCTCAAAGTCTCTAGTGTATTATAGTTGTTGATAATTATACTTGACGAAATGAATTCGCATTATCAGAACGAACATATATGAGCATAAGCATTATTCTGTCAGTGTTATACTCAACAGTGAATTTTATGTTCTCATAAATTAAAAAAACAATTGCTAAAGAGGTCAACTATTATATTCTACAACATCAAGTCCTTAAAGCATTAAATTATATTTTATAACTAACTATTCAATAGTTCAATGAATTATCTATCAGTGTTGTAGAAGCATCAAGTAATATCTGTTTATTCATTTTTCAAGATTGAAAATCATGTTCATGTGTCTATTCTAGGCGTTAAACTATAGTTAGAAGCAATATTATTAACCCTGTATAGAAAAAATTAAAAATAGTAATAGCAATAATGAAACCTAGATAATCTGACGTTAGTTATTAACTAGTGATAAATTAATACTGGACATACGTGTGCGTGTGTATATCATTTATCACTTTTCTCATCGTTTACAAAATAATAAAATATTGTCCTGAATACAACTGTTAGTTTCGATCATCAATGTTTTTTCAGATCATTTGTGTAGGTTATTTTTCTTTCGAAGAGGCGATTCAGATGATTATTAGTTATTTATTAAGTTTTAGGGCTTCAGGCTAAGATGAAAAAGGATGTCATCTATGTATTGACTACTAGTCATTCTGTAATTAATATCATCAATTCATGATTAAAGTAATATTCACTTTAAGCAAATTTCCCCCATAAGTTACTTGTCTAAAGGATAAAATCATGAATCGATCATTGTTATACCAGCATTAAAAACTTGGAAGCACTGGAGGGCCGTTTCGTCCTAGTTAAGGGCTCATTTTCAGTGTATATCCAGGACCTTCGCCTGCGAGAATCGAAGCCAGAACCTTTGGTCTCGAGCGCGAGCGATTAACCTCTAGACCATGGAGCCCGTATCTAGAGGTGTGAAAATCTAAGTTTAATCAATCCAAGGTATTGTGCAACGTCAACCGATTGTTTTCAGTAGGTAACTAACTGCCCACATTCAACAGGGTTGATTTCTGCTGATCACGGCTTCTCAATGGATGAGTTCCATACTAGAACGAAATGGCCATGAAGTACATCCAGGTTTCTAATGGTGGTCTAACAATGATCAAACCATGATTTTAATGAAACTTAACAATCTTCATAACTCTATAATAAAAATTTTTATGTAAGTTAGATTTGAAACAAGATAAGTAGAAAATATTTAACTTTGTTGACTATCTTACAGAGGATTATTAAATAAATTTTTGTATATTTAGTCAAATTTCTGTTTTATCACGTTTTCATATTATCACAGTTGTACGCTTTAACTGTTGATATATTTTTCCCGCGTCAACCAGTTTTTTTTACTATCAATTACATTTTCATTTACAAGAAGTGGCTTTTTATTTATTACGTTTTATGACCTTGTAATTCATATATATTATCATGTGAGCCATACTAGTAAATCGATTGGTTGTTCTTGTGTTTTGATTGTTCAAGTTGGGGACGGAAACAATTCTCATAGGTTGATAAACTTCAACAGCTTACTAAAAATATCAGTTAAATTTATTGGTAAAATTAGCATAAGCGAATTCATTGGTGAACTCTCTAATTTAGTGATCATTTTAAATGGGCATATAGAAGGGAAATTCATACTAAGATGAAAGTTCAGAACTTACTATGAATTTCAGTGGTCAACAAATAAAACTTTCATTTATCTAAATGTTGTTACTCATTGAATGAAAGGATTCATTGTACATATTCGTATCAATATTATTATTATCACTATTAGTTAAGGTCTGATAAGTGACATAACTATTCAGTTACATTACATTAACAGACATAGTATTTCATGAATCGAAATCATATTATTCTTTTTTACGCTACCTATCAGTTTTAGTATACTTACATGCATACGATCTACATGAAATCACAATAATAATGCGAATTCAAGCTCATTGTTAAATCTGGAATGACAAAAGTCTATGAAAAAGTTCATATCTTATCATTACGTAGACTAGTAACACTTAAGTATTCATAAACAGAAAGTTTGAAAAGTGGAAATTTCACTTTTAAAGTAAAAATGAATTACATACAATATTATCCCCTGGATAAATATTAAATTATTACATTAATAAATGTTGGTGACAATCTTTATTCATCACAAATCAGTTTAATTAATGGACTATGAGAGACAATGAATCAAAGTTTAGAATATTTAGATAAGGGTAAGCAGTGGGGGGTTAGAGTTCCTGATCTAGTGTTTATTTAAAACACTCAGAAAAATTATAAGATTTAGATTGTTAAACGTTTATACTTAGAGACTCTAATTAAGGTTTTATTGGGTCGTTTCACCAAGATTTGACGCCTATCAATGAGTGTCGTATGACACAACTTGTATGTATAGAAATAACTGTAATTGAAACCAAATGATTCAAGTCGTCTGCTCCATTGCCTGATTTTATTTTTATCTAAAGCATATAGAAGTCAGATGTGTCGTGCTGAATTGTTCCAATGAACCCGTTGTTGAACCCCTAACACCGATTATTGAGTCATTTTTCCATTTTAATTTTGTATTGGTTCAAAATATTTGTTGGGTGTTTCGTTATTTAATGAAAAAGTGTTGGTCTTTACAACACACTTGTTTTCTGATCATTTAACAGTTCCGTGAGATCTAACGTTACGAGTTACCAATCCCCATTCAATGTCATTTCTTTTTATTCAATGTGATGAGTTTATTTTTACAAAATTAATAAGTTCAGTCGTCTGACTCAACACTTAATCAAAGAACCTACGAAAATTCAGACAATTCGAGTTTCATATCCTTATTGGTATGAGTCATCGAAATTCGCCTACATACAGTTAGCCACAATAAAATGTACATCATTAAAATCTGGATAAACAATTCACAGCTAAGATAGATGAAATTATATGAATGAGTATCAAATGTCAACTAAGACAAACCCTATTGCATTTTAATGTCGAAATATACTGGAGATTAAAACCACTTTAACTTTCTATGTGGTTCACAAAATCATGAGTGAAAAGAATATTGTTGAGTTAGCTTCTTGTGTTAAGTATCTATCTTTAGTTGAAACATTTTATCTGGTAGTTGTGAAGAAAGTAGAAACTCTGTCGATGATATAAATTTACATGTAATGTGACTTCGTTTTCAATGTTTAAAATTGAGAATCTTATTAAAAAATATAAAGTGCTTATCTTTACAACCATAACTTAAAAATAATTCTTAGTGTCTCATCTCATTTTCTTTTCCCTAATCAGTGCTTTCCAACATTTCTGTATCAATAATTACCATTATCTTAACATCTCAGAATTTACTTGTACATTCACATATCTTTCAACTGATCGTTATTGTCCTTAGCAAGGTTATATGTATTTAATTTTTATTAAGTACTATATTACTGTCATCCAAGTTCTTTTTGCAACCTCTTTACAACTATACATATTCTATTTATTAATGTAAAAGAAATCTTTACAATAAATTGGGAATAAAACAATATACGTCTCTTAACATGAAAAAAAACATTTAGATAACTGTATCATCCCATGTGATAAAAATTGTGACAGAGAATGGAACTTGATTACTATAGAACTGTTCAGATTCTGACTTGTTAAGAATCACCGATAATCTAATTAATTTGAAATCCCTATCAAATAAGATGAGCCATTTACTACCAGTCAACCAATAACATACGTATTCATTACATATACGCCCAAAAGGAATAAGAGTATCTCAACAAAAAGAGACAGCAAAGTAACAAAAATTAGGTTTTATAAATAAAGCAGATTATTGAAGATGCTACTACTTGAAGTTCATAGCTACTGATCTATTGATGTTAATATTGTAAGAATGTACATAACCAAACTTTCCGATGAACTGAAACCTAAAATTGTAAATTACTTTTAATTCAAATTGTATCCAGAATAAATCGTTTCTTCAACACTCCACAGCCTAACAAAGATTTATGAACTGACTACTGAATATAAACCTATCTATGGGTTGACAGCATACTGAATGATTTCTTGCATCAATTTTTGTAACCCCTGGAAAATAACTCTGAAATCGACTTATGGTAGTGTCTATTACCATGCAACTGAGTGACATGGATTTGAATACCACTAAAATGCTACCAGGGCATCGCGCTATCAAGTGCTATTTAAAATCAAATCGAGGTCTATAGTTTCATGCCAGTTGCATTCAATATCATGTTTATGTTATAGTGATAAGAACTTTATTCCGAATGTTATAGTTTTTTATTCAAAATTAAAAAAGGCAGATGAAATTATTCTACTCTTGAATTAAACTTCGCAAAACTCGAAATTAGCTCCTCATGAAATCATCTTTATTTAGTTAAATTATGGCGTAGCTTTAATGAAAAAGATGTTTATTAAATGACATCAACACTTCAAATCTCGAAACGTTTGTCTAGATACTTATTACTGTCAATGAATTGGTGTACGTATATTCTTTCTCCTTGATTAGAACAATAGATTCGGTTAGGAAGCACTTTCAGGAATATTTCTTAAATTATACGTAAACCAAATATTTAGCTAATATACGATGATAACAAATTAACGGTGGCAAAATATAAACATACATTGTGAATCATCTATGAAATGAAGTTCAGTACTATCGGTATTTAGTTCAAATATAAAACCAAATAAAAGTGAACAACCTTAAGTTGTCTGTTGAGCTGATAAGACAAAAAATCTATCAGCATCAGTATTTACATAAAAAGAACTGAAGTTTAAGTAGTTAGACATTTCTTGTTAAAGAAGACCAGTAGTTTTCAAAAGAACCGATTTTGCAAGAGAAATATTGGAGGATGGTAAACATCTTTGAAAATAACCATAAAAAAGTAGAGTTATGTTTTATGAACAACAAGGTTTCTCACTAGATGTTTTGCCTTAATAATCCGGTAGAATCTCAAACACATCTAAGAACAAAACCTATCTAGATATATAATAGAACTATGTGTATAAAAAAATGACTAAATAACAAAACAAGACATCATGTAAACATTGAATGAAAAAACCAGGGCACTTACTTTCAGTAGTGAACAGAAAAGTGAACAAGAGCATCAGAAGTAAACATGAATAGTTCATGAATTCCATGTTTATCAATAATGATCAAACTAGGATATGTCTCAGTTATCGACAAACTCTTACAGAATTGTTTTACGAACAATTAATATTTGAAATAGTATTATTATCGAGAATAAATCCTAATCCTCGAGGATAGATAGTGTTGTATAGTATCTTAGTAACTGAATGATTCCATGGTGATGATGTCATCTAGCGCTTTTGTAATAATGACATTGTTTTCGTTAATTTTATTAAATAATACCAATGAGATAGATTTTCAGGATAAATTAATTGTGTTGTGATTGGATATCATCAATCATAATGTGTATAGTGAATATCTACAATGCAAATGAGATGTTTTATGTGCAAATATTATTGCTTAATTCATGTTTAAATATGCATGTACAAATAAGTCAATGTTATTTTATTATCACTCACTCTACCAATGACCAATTCGAATTACATAGCAAAATAAGGAATTTAAATATATATTTTTTTTGGTTTTTGTAAAATTCGAATTTTATGATCAAATGTTCATGGTTGAACATATACATGTAAATAATAGTCGGTAAATGAGTTCAGAAGAAATATTTTCATAAAAATTAGACAATATAGAATAGCTGTTGAATAAAATTCTAAAATCTATTTAATTTGTTATATTGATTTAGTTACCGCATGGAATTGTGATACTTAGAAAAAAGCTAATAACAGTACGATGAAAAGAAAAAGGGCATTCTATAGCCTAGTATCAACTTACTTTAGGTTTATGAATTCTATTGTTCAAATATTGTATACTCTTCAGTAAACGGATAGCAGAATACAAGATAACTTGTAAACAAAATGAGTCCTTCTATGCTGTAAAATGATGCAATCATACAGAATGTTTATAACAAAAATAAATATGATCAGAAATCATTTGTCCATATTTAATTTGGTTAAGCCTTTTGATTAACTTATTTAACTGAGTCATTTGTACAACAACAATAACTGATATGCACCATTGGCTTTTATTACTATCTGGTACGATTGAACATCCTGCTCGCTTTAATGTCCACTTTCTCGCCTTCCGGCACTCGCTTATTGATTTTATCTTTCTATGCCTGTAGTCTATTTGTGGTGTGCTAAATAAACGTATTTAACACTTTGTATTCCTTTTCTGATATATAGGCCGTGAGGCATTATTTAATAACGGTTGTCTTGACGAACGGCATACGAAGTCTAAGAATTCATCGGATACCGAACGTCACAAAACTAATGAGACACTGACCACTACACATTTAATATATAATTAACTGTAAGATTCTCATGGTTGTAAGATACTCTTTGATTTATTAAGTCAATACTTAATTTTTAGATCTTAATTTTTGCCTTTCAAAACTGTCGTTATCAGTAGTGTTTTTAAAATGTGTCTACGAACGGAACAATTCAACTTTTGTACTTCAGACTAATCATTTAAATATACGTATATTCTTATGATGAATAAAGGATAGTGTCGGTGAATTTGCAGAGCATCTGTTTCTCAATATTCACTATCTATGCAGCACCTGACAACTTGGTGAACGACGCATGTGATAATTTCTGCTTCAGATTTCATTTCATTCTCCAACTTTTCTCTGTGTTTTTTATCGGGCAAGTTAGTATGTGCTGCAATTTGTGAGTTTATAGAAAGCATAAAGAAATAGTTTTAGACAACTGAAATGAAATTCCCAGTGAAAATTACACTATTATAAGTAGTACCGATACATAAAATAAACAAAGGAATTTTCTAAAGTACTAGTTATTGTACATTATTGAACATTGAATTAAGGATTGTTATACTTAGACGTATGATATTATTTTAACAGGTATTTGGAGTTAAGATCCATCAAATCACGCAATATAGCATTATTCACAAGTTTAGTTATTTGCAAATCTTATTATTATTTTTATGTGGTTCTAGTCAATATGGAGTCAAAGGAAACAATCAACTGCGTATATATTGTTTACGTAAAAGAGTATACAATTTTCGATAAGTACATACATAATCCGTTAGTATAGTGAGTTAACAGTGAGGTAATGTGTAACTGTATGGAATGAATAATAGAAGGAACATTTTGTTGTTGTGTTGTAAATATTCACTTTCATATTTCCAACAGTAAAAAATCGATTATAGTTTCATGTGATGGAAAAATCAAACTATTTTCCAGTTAAACTATCCCCAAGGACAGAAGAAAAGAGGAAGACTAACGAACACATTACGCCAAGAATTGGAGACAGACACGAGAAGAATGAAGATCAATTGGATAGAACACGAAAAAGAGGCCCAGAACTGAGTAGATTGGAGAAGGCTGGTCAGTGGCCTATGCTCCACTGGGGCAACAGGAATAAATAAGTCTCCAGTTAAACTAAGTCATTTTAATAAATTTGATCTTGATGACACTCATCAGTATAATACTAGTGTTTGACTTGTTGATACATTTAAACTTCTATGTTCGGATTGGAATTTTAAATGAAATCACTAAATTTTGAAGTTAGTTTCTTTAGATACACTTAGATAAAGCAACGAGATGATGGAATCTATTAGAGCCAGTTTGTATGTATTTAATACACTTCAAAGTAGTAAATACAAGCCTGCAACAAAGCTTATCTTCATAGAGTTTTATAGATTTTATTATTCAGCTATAACACTCCATTTCTATAAGAGTATAGTCTGATACTTTAACGTTAGCTTGAATCTCCCTATCACTGTACGAATGATAGATGGTAGTTTGTACTAAAAAAATTCTACATTTATCTTCAAATATTTCATAAGATCATAATCGAAATCTTAAAATGAAACAACACCACAATATATACGTAGACATAGATGTCAGAATAAAATTAAATGAAAATATACATAGACAAGCATAGTTAAGTCTTATGGTTACCATACTTCTTTCTATTTCATAGTTCATGCATAACTAGGCAGTTAACTCTTCTGTCTATACGCTTTCCATATAGACTACTGAAGAACGTAAATATTCCCAATGAGTTGTTCTTTTAAGAAAGAAAACGGAAATCTAGAAAATAGAAAGAACTCATAGTTAAAATGCAACTACATTGAATATAAACTTATATATTTGGAGGGAGGAATAATCGGAAGAATAGTCAGTCAGTCAGTCAACAACATAGAACTTCGTACCTACGTACATTAGTTCAAGTTGTCGTACCACATTAGCACAGAGATGCAATCTTCACTTCATATCCCACACTGGTAGAGGCAGCAGAAGTATTAGCAGTAATCGGAAATTTCAGGATGAGTTTTCGAGCATCCATCCACCGCTTCTCCTTAAACCTTATGGTTTACCTTACTAACAGATATCACTGCTGTTTCCACAGCTTTCTGGATATTATTACAAGCTGTTAAGAGATGGACATCACTTACTACATGGCTGCCTAACTGTTTTTCTAGTTGTTCCTGAAATATATTCTTTGCTCTGTTATCATTAAGTTGAAATCGGAAGAATAGTTTGTCTTCCTACAATGAATAAACACTAACGATTGGAATGTAGGTTACAAACATTTAAGAATGGAAAAAAACAGGGATTCGTGAAAGTTTTCTCGCGATTAAGATCATACATATAACATCGTTTAAAATTGTTCTCAATGAATAGTAATGATTCTTTTTTCCACATTATACACAGGTCATTTAGAATGAAGCTGAAAATATGAATAATTGTTAGTATCGAGATTGCAAAAATAATGATGTACACATTTTATGGTATTTTTTCACAAAATATTTGTTTATTGGATATCGCAGCATTTTGAAATGAATTTTTAACGACGATAACTTAGAAACAAAACATTGAATAAGTTTGCATGAATCGTTAAATATTTTTGCTGTCAAGATATTAGTAATATGAATTAGAATAAAGAAAATTTCTATGTTGTAACAAAATTTCAAAACAACTGTAATTTTTTCATTGAGTAATCAAATGATCAGAGGTGGTCGCTGTATAGTAGTATATTCTAAATTACATTTTAAGGGGATAAAATTCGTTCCTCATTAAGACAACTACTAAAGTTTACATACTGACTTAAAAGCTTTGAAATATATTTAAATGAGTTCGGTTAAATACAAGAAAGTATATTGTTTTTAACTAATTATTAAAAAATGAAATCTCGAAGCTTGAGTGTGAATGGTATTGATAGCTGATGAAAGAATTTAACTAAGGATCTCCTGTTAAGATATTCATCCAATATCCTAAGAGAATCGTTTGTAAGTCTAGTTATATTGGTCGATTGATTAATTCCTACTGGTTAACATTATGGTCGTCCTAACTATAAATGTCACATACTTCAATGTTGGTTCCTATTCGACCTAACTGTATCCGCAACGTTTTATGACCTGGTGAGATAGTCAGTCAGATGCAACGTAGAACTTCGTACGTAAGTATATCAGTTCATGTTGCCATACCACATCAGCACAGAGATATAATTGTCAATTCAAATCCAATAGTAGAACAGGTAGTAAAGGTATTAGAAGTAATCGGAGAGGTTAGGATTAGAAGATATTATTCAAGAAGTATGATTCAGTGAGAAAAGTTTAGAGAGTCGAAACTAGAGGGGTTGAAGAATCCAGAAGATTAGGATTTGAGAGAATACAACGAATGAAGGCACCTGCGCCATTGCAAACGGTTTTGAGCCACGTCATTCAGGGTTTCTAACCATCGATTATTATCATCTCGCGGACCCCAACCAGGTAGTCGATAACTAGCGACATGGCTAAGTTCACTCGTCAATGACTTCATGCATTTGTGCCATGTTTTGGTTTGGCCACCCGTAACTTTCTTCCAACCTACTCCTACACTACAAAACATAGCTCGTCGAGGCAGTCGGTGGTTAGGTATACGCAGCACATGTCCCAACCACCTCAACTGATGAAGTTTCATTAGTTCATCTACTGATCTGCCATTCTTACCTAGCACCCGTTTCCTAATAACAGCATTGCTCACTCGGGTGTCCCATGATACACGAGCAATGCTTCGAAGACACCATAAAGTAAGACGGAGCGAACTACTATGCAGAACTCCGATGACAGTTCAAGTGGTGTCCATCAGGGATGTCCGCTCTCTCCATTCTTGTTTAATTTTATCATAGACATGTTCCTAGATAACCTTATCCTCATCTGAATTTTCAGGAGTAGACCTTCTACCAGGTGGCTCGGTTATTAACTTAGAATATGCCGATGACATAGTCCTACTTGGTGAAGACGCTGACAAAATGCAGAGTCTTCTGACCACCCTAAGCAACAATGCAAGCATGTTCGGGATGCGGTTTTCCCCCTCGAAATGCAAAATGTTGCTTCAGGATTGGGTTGCATCGGCACCTGAACTAGTGATAGGGAGTGAAGTATTCGAGCGTGCAGACCGCTTCACTTATCTTGGGAGTCTCATCAGTGCCGATGGCCTGGTCGGGTTTATGACGTGGACCCGGATACTTATCCTCTTCTGGACTTGGACCTCGTACTTTCTGGATGTTTGTAGAATACAGGTTATACTTTATATCAAGTCTTCTTCTTTACTCAATGGGGGCTTGGGACACGGGGATCAGAGTAGCATGTCGTGTCGCCGGATCCTCGCTCTCCTTTACTGACTAAGGTAAACTCGTAATAGTTCAAGCATATCAAATGACGTGTTTACGTGCATACGTAACATATCCACAATTGTCCTGATATAAAAATGCAAGTGTAGCCCAAGCAAATATCCCAAATGAGAAACAAAATGGAAGCTATACACCAATATTCACTGGTCATTTACTAAATGACTGCCTTAATTTCTGAAGTACATAATATCTATATCAATGAATGAGTTAATGTGTGTATACAATTAGTCAAAGCTTCCTATCTATTTTTTTGATTTTCTCACACTCAAAATAATTAGCTGTGCTGGGTGGTGTATCGCAAACATACATATATACATCGAAAAATTAAATTGAAACAATCGCTTAACAACACACAATAGGGCATAATCTCAATTCAAAATGTTGACTACAATCTACAATCTATATAATAAATTAATGAAAAGTCACAATTATATTGTTGAATCATGAATTATTGAAGAAAAAAAATTTATCATGATGAAAAAAACGCTCATTTGATAAATAAATAAATCAGTAAATATAAGTAAATAAATAAATGATATGTTAAGAGAATCAACTTTTTTTAAGAAAAAATTAATTTACAATTATGCAAAAAAAATGTTTAGTTTACATTTAAGAATAATCAATTGATTTCAATTAAAAAAGAACACATAAAAACAATGAATAGAATGACGTTGTGGACAACGACGATGACAACAACAACAACAATAACAACAAACGCACATGGGTACATAACTCTCGAAAGACTTGAAAATGAAATGAATAATCTGCACTGGGTCATAAACAGAATGTGCATTGTTTTATATGATGACGCAACATTCAGTGGGAATGAGTTATCTTTTGAGAAAAAAACAAACAAACAATAAATCTGTATTTTAAAGATAAACATACAAATGGAAAAAATATATATATATATATATATGTGTGTGTGTATGTGTTTGAATCAGTTGGACCGGGCCTCTAATGGGAAGAAATATGTCATGAAAAGCATACAAATATCTGTATTAGTCCAATAGTTAGTATGTGAAGTCAACAAAGAAATGTACATATTCTCATAGCGTGATGCTTGTAATTCAAAATCTAATCGATGTTCAAGTTGTAATGGTTCATCAAAATACGAATCATTCTGCATGAAATCTGTTGTAGATGATAATGATGAACTAAGAGAATTGGTTGTTTCTTGTTCTTTTTTATTGATAGAATTGATTTGATCATCATTGTCATGGTTGTAGGTTTTGTCGGAATCATTAAGACTAACATCTTCTGTATCTTGGTTTCCACCAGATAAATATGATGTTCGTGAGAAGAAACCGAAAAGTCGACCTTTTTCAATATGCAAAATAAATAAAACGTCAACTAAGAATGAACATTGTAATCTAATTCCAAAGCTTTATATATTCATAATTAAAATAAGAAATAATAACCAACGATTGTCTTTATATTTAATTATTAATAAGATTTGGATTATCTCATTGGTGATATTCATGATTCGATTTTGACCAATTTTGATTGGAACATGTTCATTCGTTGCGAATTGCCTCAATATAAATAATTTTCACAGGTTTTGTTGAATAGATAAGTCTTAAATAGGATGAAACAGATGTCCACGATTCTACTACTACTGTGGTGTGAGCTACGTATAAGTAGTATATGACGTGAGTGTCAACGTAATGTCTGGCAGCAGAAGATGGGGGAAGATCAAGAAAGGAAGAGTTCGAAAACAATGGAATTTGTATGAAACGCATGAATAGTGACAATGGATTGATGTTTGGCAACAGGAACAGTCCAGTTCGATAGGATGAACTGATATTTTGCAAATGAACAATTTACGATATGGTTTTCCAATTTTACTGAGTAACTCTGTAATTTCGCTAAATACAATTCGGTTGCCCCACCTGTGTTCTCGTTCACTACACTACTACTACTACTACTACTACTACTACTATTACCCACAATTTATCTGTTGTGAAAAATGGCAATATTTAGGTGAGTTATATACGATGGAAATAATCCCAACCAAGACTAATCAAGGATATCAATAACGAGATAATTAAATCCTTCCTTATAATGATGTAAATACCATACCTATTACGCAAATGAGTGATTATCTGGACTCACAGCTTAGTGGATAACACGTTGACGTCTCAAGAGAAATGTATTGAGGTTCGAGACAAAATGTGTACACCTTACATTCAAATATCTGTTTGTTTAACAAGCGTGATTTTGGTTATCTTCTTCCACATACATTCCAGCCTTCAAAACACTCTGATCCCGTCATGCATCCGGATTCGACACTCTTCACTTTGGCAGTAACTTGTGGGCGAGACCACTGAATATACACTGCGTACGGCTTACTTACAAGCTTTGTTGTGAGCAGTATATAACATACTCGTACGATCTTCAAGTACAAAGAGAAACTGTGACTAGAAAGAAAAGTTATAAGGCATATTTCAGTCGGCACTAATTACAGACAAGATGTTGTGTCTATTTGGTTGGATGAATGTGTGGGCTGATAAAAGTCCTATGTTTATGCTAAATGAGGGCATAGGAACGGTTAGTCGTTAAGTTGATTTCACGTTTATGAATACATTAGAACTTCCCAGATTTGGTTTTGGGGTTTATACAATTTTGTAGATTCAGAAATTATCACTGAAGATCATTTAGTTTTGTTGTGTGTTATGTATAAGAAGTAAAGTGTACTTTAATTATACTGGTAACATTCTACTCGTTATAGATAGGTTAGAAAGTCAATGTGGTTAGCTTTAGTAGATTGCCTAGGCAATGCAGAAAGCCGGCGAACACGTAAGTGGAATATAACTCAAGCATATAAAAAATTAAAACAGAATTTAAAATTTACAAGCAAATAAAATATTATTTATAGTTCAATTGCTTTTACTTGAAAATTAACTTACTAGCAATGGATAAATATTTAGAGGAATCCATCTCGTTTGTGGTTATAAATTGATTTGTATCCGGACAATTGTTTTTCGTTGATTGTTGATACTAAGGCAAGAACAATCATTTATGACAACAAACATTTTTATATAAACAGCAAATAGAATTTAAGAAAAAAATATATATACAAATAAAATATGAAACCGGACATAATAACTGCAATATACATTAGGTGTGGGCACTTTATATTTTATGAAGGTTATATTCATCGCAGACTGATATCAATTGAGATATTATTGAAGATCAAGGAGCAATGGGCAGTTGTTTCATTTTAGCATGAGGCTGCTCTGAAGTGCGCAGGCATGGTCCCACCAGAGTTTGGACCTGGAACCTTCAGGTCTCGCAGCGAATAGTTTGTCACTAGAACCATTGCGATTTAACGTCTAACGACACAATTTTAACTTTAATCAATTTGAGATATGGAGTGATAATCATTTAGTAGTATCACTGAAAAATGTTAACTTTCGGTGGTTTCGAGCTCCATCAGTTGCAGCTTCTCACTAGCATTTCAGCAATATCTTGAAATAAGTCATTAATGAGCTGACTATTACGATTTAGTTGAGCCTTGTTGAGATTGATTTAATTGTTACGTTATATTGGTTCATAGACTAACTTCAGTTGAGATAACAATAAAAACCAGGGAGAAGTGTTTTGGCCGACTATTAAACTCTTTAACAGTGCACATTTTTTATGTTACTTAAGTGAGTATACAATTAAATTAATACATTTATTGTTCTTTCAATCGAAATGGAAAATGTATGTTCAAAAAGTTTGCACCGAAAGTTTGAATTCGTTACTTTTTTTTCAGTAGTTTTTTTTAAAACCTAAATGAATGTTAAATAATCAATGTATAGAAAGTGAACATTGATTTTCTATGTAAATATGGAGTTACAGAATATTTGGATAAGAAGGACAGTGACAATTAAAACAGATTTAAGAAAACTAATAAAACAGAGTTACTAAATAAAGATGAACTAGTAGTACATTTTTGTCAAGTCCAGCAGGTTTTGAAGATTAAACTATAAATGTTACAGATGTTACAGACCATTCAATATTGGTAACTGGTATTTTTTCAATCTAAATGAACCATGATTGGTCAGCGATTAAATACAGACATATCCGGTTACATTAAACACAAGAGATAGTTTTATATTGTAAAATTCAATACATACTAGTTTCACTTACAGACTACTACTATCTTATAATTCTTGTCAATAAACTTCCTATCGAACAGTCAATTATATCTAAATGCTATCAAATGTCTAGAACATGACAATGTCCATTATGAAAATATAAAACAAATATAAGATTTACATGAATCTGGAAAGACGTATAATTATGGTATAATCAATCAATCAATCAATTGATCAATGAGTACTTGATAATAATCGTTATTGACTTACACAATTTTGTGGTTTTGGGTGTTTATACTCTTTACCAGAATATTCAAGCAAAGGAAGCGTGTCATAGCATGGTTTGGAGAGAGCATCAGCTCGATGAATCATAGCTGGTTGGATAGTAGAGTAGTATTTTAAAATCAATGGTTCTAAACGATAGGCCTTGAATAGGATTGAAATAAAGTAGATAGAAATTATTTAGTATTGTAAAGTATAACATATTGTCGCTAGTGTCTGAATTCTTTTTGCCGATAAACTGCATTAAAGTTGCATGAAACTAACAATTTGTACGTAGTTTATTTAAAAAAGAGAAGAGTGACATAAATCTTCTATGTGACAAATGAGCAGCTGGTCAGACAATATAAACAACGGAGAAAACTGATAACTTTTTGTACATGACTATTTAGATACTGACTTCTTAGCCCCCAGAATTTTGCCCTTTAACTACAAGGGGAAAAACAGAAGGCATGAGGTATATAATGAGCTTTACTCCCGAGGTTAGTTTGTGTTTAAACTACGAGGTCATCTAATGTGTCACATGTGACCTTGAGGCTCCAGAAGCTTCTGGAAACGTGTAGCAATCGGTAACAAAATCGGTAATTAGATAGTGATAACGTAATCGATTGTTTCCCAGTGTTCTGTTGAAAGCTTCTAGGAAACGCTGATTGGTCAAGGTAATCTTAGTATTCCCTGGATTATGAAGATGTTCCTGAAGAATTATCGAAGGTCTTTAAAAAAATGCAATATACTGCCTACTATGGCGGACCTTTATTTCTCTAAGAACTCCTTTTGATAAAAAATTGACTAAATTTTTTCCTCCCCAGAGCACATTATTTGCATAGAGGACGATCAGACTGATGAAAAATACCCTAACTAAAAGAAGTTTTTCAACCAGGCGAATGTGTCTGACAAAAGTAAATAATGTATTTGTCATTATAATACTAACAGGAAATCTCAAACAATTAGAAAGCAACTGTTGTCTGAACAGAGACTTTTGGTTAAAATGAATCAAGTGATCGTCATCTACGATCACCTAGATTGATCAAAATGATTTTGATGCATTGAAAAATTATACATGGAATGTAAGTACTTTTTAATGAACATTTTTATCATCATTATGCTAAAAAAAAATAATTCTTATAGCTAATTTGTAGTAACGGAATTCGCTACAGTTTTGTTACTCCAAGATGTACATTTAAAGTAATGACTCGTAATGTCGTTGGGTGAGAGGAAATAGTGCTTGTTTTTTTCCTTACAGCTCATGAATAGCCTAATAGGTATTTGATGTCAGATATATTTCCTTCCTTCTTGTACTTACATAATTGTCTCTTATTGATTGTTGGGTAATACTCGTACTAGTCAGGCGAATCACATGTTCCTAATCTGAGTTATGTTGAAGTCCGGTAGAATAGTGCTAGTTGGATATCTAGCATAGATTAGGCAAATCAATTACGCAGATAGATAGATAAGTGTTCACCTTAAGCGAGTTAGTATCTCATTAATATAATGAAGGAATACGAGCGTTATTTCTTGTACATACAAATATTTGGCTTTCATTCTAACACAAGACAGTGAACCTATACAGGTCGCTCCTTGTATTCCAATTATGTAGAAAACTTACATTTTAATACTTCTAAATAGAATAAAACTTATTATTTTAAAAATGAAAACTACTTACGACAGGATCGGCTGGGTGGTAAATATTGAAAATACGGGGACATATTTTTCGAGGAAGTATTGAATCTTGCGTTTGGTAAGGACCAGGACGGATACCACGCAAAACCAGATACACACCCAATGGTGAGCCCAAGCAGAAAAGGTTTTCTAGCTATAAAACAATCGAAGTAAGAATCGAGTAATACGCGCTGGCAAAATATCCAATTGTTAAAGTGAAATACCAATAATCATTGATTTGATCAATAAAAAAATAACGGTGGTAGTCGTATTGGGGAGTCGAACGGCATGACATTTCTTCGCTTATATCAATACATGCGGACAACTGTGGAAATACGTTCAATTGGAACGATGTTGAAATACTGGATAGATGGAGTTCGAAGAACACTACAGAACTTTTAGAGGCTTGGCACTCAAGTCAATCAGCTATCAGCAGACACATCGACATTGACTCAATTTATCAACTAATCAGAAAAATCATAAGCAAACATAGGATCAAGAAACAGATTAAAGGGGGATACAATCGAAACAAAGGCGCAGACAACGACAGGTTTAAGGCCAATAACAACCAATCAAGATCGAGGTTAGAAGAACAAGCTACAAGTCAAACGTAGAGAAATTCGAATACTTCACTTGTATCTTGAAGTTTGTGCCGATAATGTTGTTCAGAAGAACAATGAACGCTCCACAACCAAAATATCCAGCTCAGAGAACGAAACTCTACCACAATCATCCACCTGAGCTACAAATTTTGTCCACCACTACTATATGACTAAGAGAAACGTAGTGTCGTGATGACTAAACGAGCTACCAACACCGGCAATATAAACATTTATTATTTAATAGATCTTTCAACAGATAATACTTAATTGCCAAATAATGAAAAAAAATAGAATATTAGAGTGAATAATATTTTACAGAGAAATCTCTAATGCAATGAGCAATTTTGGGAAAAACAAAACTGTACATAAGCAAATGATACATTTTATTAATGACAAACAGAGAACAGGAATTAACGAGGCTATAATCTAGTAGTCTATATTTATGTTTATATATACATTTATATTCATACAGGGGTCATCGTAAATATAGTAAACAGTAAAGCAAATATAATGAAACTTACATTATTTGCAAACAATAACGGATTTTGTTGATATGATAAGGAGTTTTGAGACATTATTGAAGGACTATTACATTTTGACTGGTGGTCACAATGACTACTACTATCAGTTGACTTTTGAGTATTATAATTCATGTGATTCTCACGCGTAAATAACAATCTATTTAATTCTTGTTCTAAATTATTCACCCTGTTTGGTATTTTTTTTTCGGGAAAAAAAATAAGACAAAAGAAAGTTGAAGACATTTCAACAAATAACAAATGATAGGTCTTTTAATGACATACAGGTTTTGATAAGATGATTTATCAAAGTCCAAAAATAAAACAGTTTAAGAAATTAATATAGACTGAACATTTAGTATTGACCGGCTATATTGCATAGTCAGGTTCTAGATACAAAAAATAAAATTCAGTTAAATAGATGATGGCCAATCGTAAAGCTCTAAAAGTTTAACCGGGTTTTTATAGTAAACGTGAACAAAGTTATGCATTTCAGACAAAGACGCTAAACTCTGAAATCATTAATGTATTAAAAAGGTTTTAAGTAACTTGTTTATTCAGCTATGAAGAATGTAAGGGAATGGGGCACGTTTTCCTCAACTCAGTTCAATAACAAGATGGATGGTAAAGAAGTAGAAACAATAATCGATGTATCGATCAAGGTAAGCCATGTTTGGCTAAATGAAAGACTACATTTAATATATAAGAAGTTATCCTATAAACAAAACTGATTTCGATTTGTCAATATCTATCTGGCTCTCGATTGTTGGTTGAATAAAATGTATGACTATGCATATCACATAATCAAGTATTGTATCTATTAATCGGTTTAGTTCTATTGATTCACTTATTGAGAGATCTAGTGTTCAGAGTTTTGATCATATCATCCACTAATTATTGCTCTTTAACTTCTATGCTAATTAACATATCACAACATAGGAATAGGATTTGTTAGTTATGTATCTTTTTAATAACTGCAATTTGAATTCATCAGAAAAAAAAGAGTATCATTAGTAACATTTTTTAAAACAATTTTATAGAATGAACTTTTATGCAATAAAAGTATGCAATCCGTCGGCTACAACTCATTACACTTTAAATATTTACTTACTACTTACTTACGCCTGTTACCCCCAAATGGAGTATAGGCCGCCTACCAGTTTTCTTCAACCAACTCTATCCTGGGCTTCCCTTTCCAGTACTGTCCAATTTTTGTTCATTCTTCTCATGTCTTTCTCTATTTCTCGGCGTAATGTGTTTCTTGGCCTTCCTCTTTTGCTTTTGCCTTGAGGGTTCCATGTGAGGGCTTGTCTTGTGATTCAGTCAGGTGCTTTTCGTAGTGTGTGTCCTATCCACTTCCACCGCTTCTTCCTGATTTTCTCCTCCACTGGAATCTGGTTTGTTCTCTCCCACAGTAGGTTGTTGCTGATGGTGTCTGGCCAACGAATCCGAAGTATTTTGCGAAGACAACTGTTCATATATACTTGTATCTTCTGGATGATGCCTTTCGTAGCTCTCTAAGTTTCCGCTCCATACAGTAGAACTGTCTTGATATTTGTATTGAAAATCCTGATTTTGGTTTTGGTTGAAAGTTGTTTGGAGTTCCAGATATTTTCAACTGTAGAAATGCAGCCCTTGCTTTGCCAATCCACACCCTCACATCTGCATCGGATCCACCTTGGTTGTCGATGATGCTGCCTAGATATGTAAAGGTGTTAATGTCCTCCAAGGCATCTCCATCAAGAGTGATTTGGTTGGTGCATGTTGTAATGCATCGGATTACACTTTAAATGGTTTAATTTAAATATAACTGTTTGATAAATGTTATCATTTACAAATGAGTAAGTGAAACAGTAAATAATTGTAGGAATTCAATTCTTACAGGCTAAAAATCAGAAAAAGGAACCGGAAATTTCCAATCCAAGATCACATTCTTAGTCGGAATATTTATTCACTATTTTATTTAGTTAAAAAAATTTTTCATTTGTGAATTCTACATTACACTTTAAAAATCATGTGGAACATTGTCAGAATTAAATATTTCGTAAGATCAAAACTGATTTCCATTGTGAATGGAAAATTCATTTAAGATGTCATATATTGTGCATGCATCATATACAAAACAAACATGAGATTCTTCCTTACTGTAAACAATAAAAGGTACCAGAATCACAACTGAAAAATCAGGGATTTGTTACTGTGTGCAATATGTTATACACTAAAGTTTATATTTCTTAGTAAATTGGCAAAAAGTTAATTCGTTAAAATTTATATTAAAGCAAGAATTTAAGACAAATCACTTACAATGTCCTAGCAGTTTCTAGTCGAATATTCACACGAGCAATTTGTTCTAAATTTCCATTCGGCGATAGTCCATGATCAGTATGAAGTACATTTAAGTTATTGTTTGGTAAAGTCTAAGAATTCATACAAGAAGAAATGAAGATGAAATTTCATTTTATTATTTAACAAATGAAAAACTTTAATTTAATTAAGTTATCTTGAAAGTTTAAGGAGTTAAAATAAAAAAGACTTAAACGTATTTTGTTACTAAAAAGGCATAAGGAACACAGTATAATTTATCACTCATAACCAATGTGGGATCTAGAAAGAATATGCACTAGTAGAAATTGTAGCAACTTCGTATAGAGTCTGTTTGAGTGCAAGAACATGAAGGTACATGTGGCTGGCAAACTCATATTTTATAAGAAATCCGCTACAGAATCTTTTACTAAGGAAAATAGGATAATCTCTACTTTAGGAGAATAGTCTCTATAGAAACGTCATGATGTTTTATGATGAAAGTAGAAACTGATCAGAAGACACCAAGCTGATGCTCCTTTTAACAACCAGGGCAACATAAGAACATGGAATGTCACAACAGTGTGGGAAACCAAGGGAATCATTCAAATAACTGCACAAATGGAATAAGACCTTGCGTTATTTGGAATGAGTAAAGCTCTAAAAAAAATTGGGTGGACAGAAAAGAGTAACTTCTGATAAGTCATTGCTACATTCTGACTAGGAACAGTAAAATATACCCCCACACACAGAAGTTGCACCGATGTTATTCAAAGGAGCACCTAAAGGACCTATATGGGGTAGGCAAATCATAGGTTCAGAATCAACAAAACATCATTCAAAATAAAAAATGAGAGGACTACAAAAATTGTTATCTAGTGATACATACTCACTAACAATAGTAACAAATATGATAAAGATTGATTTATGAGAGGCTGTGGTTCATTGCAGAAAACTGCCTAGCACCATTTTGACAAATGACCTAGATCTCATTATGAGGTGGTATCAACTGGAAAAAAGAAACGAGAATGGTGAGAGAGTGGTAACTAAATCTACTTTCGACACCACGGTTACAGATGGCAATATTTTACCCTCCAAACGCATACACAGAGCTATATAGGTTTCAAAGAATCACACAACAGAGAAACAACGAGCAGCTACATAAGGAATGGGTGCTATAAACAAACCGGGGTAGGATTCAAAAAAAGAACGATAACACTTGACGCCTGTAGAACAAAAGCATGAAAAACAAAAGAACATGCTGCATATACAGGAGAGTGCGAGTGAACAAGGAAGAGCAATAGGACTAACACATCCAAATATGTAGAGGACCTAGAAACAACAAACTCCGCCTGGAGACACTCTTGGGGATTTCACCGGTCCCAAGTCCAGGTAAAAGACGGATGGGCATGGGGATTGGCGACCCCATCCTACAAAAAAACTAACTCTCTAAAAGAACGCCAACCAGAAAACAAATCAAACCATTTTAACTCTGCCTTGGGAGTGAGGGCTTCATTCAGAAAAGTTAGGACGTCTCATGACGAACCCCCAGTTCCTTCAGAAATCACGAGGCCGATGCCCCTTCTGACAACCAGAGCAACCATTCTTTTAAGTATATGGAATGTTCGAACATTGTGAGAGACAGTAAGACTATTCCAAGTTGCTGTGGAAATGAAAAGAGGCAACCTGGAGCTGCTCGGAATCAGTGAAACACATTGGAGACAGGTTGGACAACTAAGACTAGCTTCAGCAGAGCTGATGTTATACTCCGGCCATGAAGAAGAAAAAAGGCCTCACATACACAAGCAGTTGCACTAGACAAGGTTTTCAACAGTGTTGCTGAACCAGCTGAAATGTTCGGCGGATGATCACCTTATAGATCAATAAGCAGGCTTTTGTAACGGTCGATTATGTAGTAAACAGACTGGAACTGCGAATCATTGTTGAACGGTCATTTAGTCAATCAAATGCAACGTAGAACCAGGTACACGCGTCAGTCTGTTTGAGTTGCCATACTCTATTAGCAGAGCGAGATAAAATTCTTGGGGTGAATCCCAAAATAGCAGAGATGATAGTAGAAACATTAGTGGCAACAGAAAAGATTAGGCATTTGAAACGAAAATATAAAATAGTGAAATAAAAAGATTATGAGGAATTTAGAAACTCAGAATCTAAGGGAAGACAAAGAGTGGATGCACCCGCTTTATTTCAAACGATTTTGAGTAATTTCACTGGTTACGATTATCATGCGGATCACCAGCTTGTGGTCTGTACCTTTTAACATGAATTGGCCCAACAGTCAATAACTAATGTGACTTTATCATTTAGCTCATCTGGGGATAATGAGTGAATGAAGGTCAGTTGAACTGCTCCCTAAAATGTTCTGCTAATTGTTCCAATCTACTGAACTGAGCGAATACTAGGCTATCTTTTACCGAGGTAGTTTCCCTGAAAGCTGAAACTACAGTCTTAATTCGTCTAGACGTAAGAGAGACAAGAGTATACGGAAATACAATTTTACACCCAGAAAAATATAACTTTCGGAGACAATTCTTTACTCAGGCAACAAAATTATTGATCGTGGATGCGCACTGCTGATGAGTCCCATACCAGGACGAAACGGCCGTCCAGTGCTTCCAGGTTTCTAATGGTGGTCTAACAATGAGTGATTGATGATTTCAAATGTGTAAAAACTGTTGGGATAGCCAATCGAGAAGAAAGCCACGCACATTGTGGATTGATGAACTATTTGATTAATGTTCAAAATATTTAAACGACATTTATATAATTGTATAAATACGCATGTTTGATTGTATATTTTTGATTCTGATAAGAAGTGTTCTCCAACGTCTTCCGTCTTCTTATTTTTGAACGGAGGGGTCTAACGTTCGGTGTGTCATTAGTACAGTGGTTTGGCGTTACATCAAGTACAAAACATTAAAAAAAAACACAAACCTCCAAAACTCTGCCTGAAAACAATATTTTTATTTAGTTAAATACCAGCAACAATGAGTTTTGGAAGTTAAGCATTCAAATCTTAACATTGTGTACGGATTCCGTTTAATTAATAACATAAAATAAATGAAGTTGACCTACAAGATAATTTGTACTCAGTTCACAGTAGTCACGTTTACACAAAGTATTCATTCATTATTCATAGTTAATGATGTTCGCCTACAAGGTGACCTACTTTCGAAGTTATGAAGAAAATCATTAGCTTACAACTTGGTAACATTTAAGAGACAATTAATTTTATGCCGTTGTAACATATATTCTTATCAGTTAGTAAGAATAATTTTACATTCTGAAAACTGGCCATGTTAGGTGAATTAAGCAGATGAATAAGTGGAATTCCGTAAACAGATTTACTGACAGTATCATTGTTAAAAAATATCATATAGATTATTATTTCATTATTATTGTTATTGTTTCATTAGAAAGTTTATTTCATTAACACAAATGTTTTAAATTTTTTATTTAATAATAAAACAAGTGAACATAAAAATTTATTGCATTTCAGTTCCTCTGTAGCTTACACCGTATATATGTATATATACATATATATATATATATATATATATAAGATTTTTGTGTTGTTTTTCTGTTTATGGCTATAGGAGTGTATCTGAAATATTATTGCATTGCCAACTAAGGCATTTTTACATGACTGCATTTTGTGGATGCCGTCACTAAGTGTAATAATGCACTCTGTATATTTTAAGTCAAAGATGGTCTGTAAGTAAATGATAAATTCATGAGAAGACAAACAATATAACTGTCACTCCCAAAAGAATTTTTTAGATTCAACTCAAATAACCTGGCAAAAGCGGAAAATAACATTTCGGAAGGGATTTGAACAGTCTTCGACTGAAGAAGCTAAATCCACATCTACTGGGCGGCCGACAAATGTTTAAACGTTAGAAGTCTCCATGAGGACATCTTCGAAAGTAGTAGGTTAGTCAGACATCATCGACATAGAGCTTATCACGAATATACGTTATCACACATCATATAAGCACGTCACGGCAAAACGAAGTCAGTAAGAAGAATACTGAAGGAAACGAAATAATCATAGTAGTAATGATAATGGGAAAGGGTTAGAATTGGGAGTATGGTTTGGAAAAACAAAAACATGTATGGAGTACTGAAGCTCAATGTTTGAAATAAAATAAGGAATGAACGCATCCATGTTACTTAAAATAGTTTGGTGCTGTTACTTGTCTTCAACCGTTAACTGCAGTTATTGCACAGACCCTGTTCAGGTCGTTTGAATCCAGTGACATGAATCAGACTAACAGTCAATTACTCCATGGATTGATGTCACGTTTTTGTTCGACGGCCATAAACCTTTCTCGAACTTTTCCATCACCAGACAACATGTTAGTATAGGCATTGGTTATGAGTAAGTAATACATGTTTTAACCATTTTAGTTTATAATGATTCAGTCTGATCAATTGACTCGTCATATGCATTAAAAACTTTAATATTGCTCACTCAGTTGTCTCGACAAACTCGACACTTTCAAACAAATACTTGAAATTTTCAAAACTGATACAAGGTGTCTATGGTTTATACAATATAAAACTCAATATATTAGTAATACAAAGAAAATGACAAAATAATTATATTGAGTATAACTCACTTTAGCTGTAATATCTGACAATTTTGAAGAAGTTGAATTGAAAAGTATATTCTTATCAGTTGATTTATTGAATAAGATTTCAGTTAATGGATCATTATCAGGGACTTGATTCCAACCAGTAATTAAATCATAAACTAGGACACATCCAAGAGAATGAGCAATTATAGAAACTTTTCCACCGTGACATTCAAAATTAGGATTTAATCGACAAAACATAGTATATAGTCTATTGAGTTCACTTTTTAAACTGCCGATAATTTCAGCTCGATATAAAGGACTAGTATAATACATAATATCCATAACAGAACTATTCAAGACTGTACGAAGTCCTCGAAGATGAACAGGAGTGATTGATTCAACTGTATCACCATCTAATTGTAAAACAGTTCGCCATTCAACTGGTAGAAATTCAACACGTTTATTTTCTTTATCCAAATGTGAAAAGTAACGAGTTTTTATTTTGTCACATGTATCACGAAGCCTTTTACAATAAAACGAATGACAATAAGTTAAACAAAAAAAATGTAAAAAATAAATCTATTTGTATAAATCAAGTTTTATAATGCAGATATCTCTTCTAAGATTCGGAATAATAAAAAAAAAGTAGTCAAATAGCATAAAATTTGTAACTGGAAACATGTAAACAAAACTGTACACAGTTAAAATGAACTCTAAACAATAGTATATTAAATACAAAGTTCATTGAATATGGAATCAATGAAATTCAAATTGAAAAAGTCTTACATTACATTGTTTTAGACTATTATCATTCAACAGATTTAATGAATTGACTAACACATATTTAACTTTGATCTTGTTAGTAAAATGGGTTGTTTTTTTTTAATAAATACTTCATGTGAGATGTAAAACGTAATAGAGCTTAAATACTGACTCAGAATGATAGTTTAGTTATAAAAGAAACATACAAAAACTTGATAACATTTCAAACATCATTTATGAGATAGTTGCAATGCAATACATAATAATCTTTTATTTATTGATGAGTCGTTCATTTAAAATGATAAATTCAATGAAAAGATAAGTTCTTTTCAGGTTCTACAGTTATATATCTAAATGAACAATCCAAAAAGTGGACAGGTTTAAGGCAAACTGCATAATTTAAAATTATAGCACGTGAATTTAGGATTGCAATATAAATCGTTAATGTTAGGATGACTAATATGAAGCATTCATTTGAACATATAGACAAATAGATGCTGTAGCGATGGATTTACCACTAGGTCTCATATTGGTTGACATTTTCCTAGCTAAACTAGAAAATGTAGAGGACTTTGTACGTACATACATCAGTTCAAGTTGCCATACCACGTTAGCACATAGATGCAATTGTCAATTCAAATCCCATACAGGTAGGTAGGTGTAGTAGAAGTTTTAGCAAAAATGGAAAAGGTTAGAGTTCGAAGAAATTATCGAAGTATAATCTAGTGAGAGAGAGAGAAAAGAAAAGGATGGACGCACCTGCGCCACTGCAAACGATTTTGAGCAAATGGATATCTCGCCTACGCCATAAGTGACACAAGTTGAAGGAAGTCAGTCTAGCCTTCAGTGTCCGTGCTGAGATTTCGTCATAGCAGGCTATCAGCATTGATGAGACCCTCGAGTTAAGTGAAGCGGTCAACACACTCAACCGCTTCATACTGTATCACTAGTTCAGGTGCCGATGCAAGCCAATGTTGAAGCAACATTTTGCATTTGGATGAGAGGCAATCGTATCCCGAACATGCTTGCTTAAGATGGTCAGAAGACTAGGAACCAGTTTCCTGATAAAGCATATTGACAAGTTTTTCTTTTACCGCCGATATATGGACGACATATTCACCATTCTGACCGGGTAGAGACACTCATGGGATTTTACTTATACGGAGAGTAGATAGGTCATTAAGACGAAACGTAAACAAGAAAACTGCTTGGACTTGCCAATATACAAATTTCCTTAGTTTTGTTTCTTTACAATATAAAAGAAACCTGATTAAGACACTTTAGTACTGAGCCATTACTTATATGCTCCCCAGAAGTGGTTGCAGAAGAATCAAATACATTACGAACCACTCTGATCATTAAACTCACAATTTCATTTTACGTATAACTTTATTCAAGTGAACACTTCATATTAATCACTCCAACATTAACTAGTGATATTACAGACAATTCTAAATTCACAGACTATAATTTTAAACGATGGACTTTGCTTTAAACCTGATCACATTTTTTGGATTATTAATTTGGATATTTAATTGTAGAACCTAAAGAGAATTTATTCAAGAAGAATATTCCTAGTTCATATTATTTGTTTTAAAAAGTAAAGTATTTCATTGACCAAATACACATACATTTACAAAACACAATTAATGAACATCACCTTCTAATCGGCTTGCAAGGCTTCCAAGCAATCAAAATCATCAACACAAATTTTTTTCTTTAAAAGTAGCAAACAGGTTAGCTGCGTACGTAGTACACAATAATAAGAGCAGGCAAAAGATAGGCTTAAGCAAATTTTTCCACTACATAATATGGTATTGTATGAAATGAAAATATTGTGTACGAGTAATTTGGCCTTGGATAAAGAAGTCACAATACCGACAGTATGAAAAATTATAAACATTATATGAGTAAACATACATAAAAGAAAAACACATCTCAAACTACAAAACTTCTACTTTAGAATTTGAGTATTTTGTCATACATCGATTTTTATGCAATTAACAAACATATAATAAAGTCAGATTAATGGCTATATCATTTTATTTGATTTTTTGTACAAGAGAAATGAGAATATAGTTTTAAATGAGTAAATAAGGAGAGGGTAAGACTAACAGTGAAATACTAAATTATCAGAAGAGTGAAGACAGTAGTCAGCACCATAAAGCATTATACTGTGTTATTTACTTTTATGTGCATTGTGAGCTCTTTTGTAGTCTAAAGTTCTTGACAAGATAATGCTCGATATCAATAATTAAACTATACTGGGTTATGTAATACTATGAGGAGTCCAAGATATTTGAGTCAGTGTAATAAACGATAATTCGTTGGATTGTTGTAAGAAATAACAAAAATTATATCAAACCTACTCATTACAATTGTTTACAATTGGGTTAGTAGCCATTTTCTGACCGATCCCATGGATAACAAAACAAAGGTGAGAAATATCCGGAATTTTGTCCTCTTTACGAGCTAAATCATTGAAACCACGACATAAACGAGTACCTACTGAAATGCAAAAAATCGAGAGAAATACAAGTTACCTTGAGAAAATTACATTTGATCTTGAATAAATCCTAGTGATTTGAGCAAAGAAGTCATGGATGTTTTGGCATATGCATTGCAAGAATAATGAGCCACGTTCAGATAAGGATGAAGTTATACAGGTAATTAAAATCCAGATGGCGATAAAATATATGATTGTTCATGACTTAGGATATGAGAACTTAAATGTGGACAAATCAATGACTTCAAATAAAACTTTACCTCCAGCAATGTCCCTAAAAGTGAACTTAACTTGATTTGAAAATATTTTAATAACTTTCGTCTGTTCTTTCTGAATGGTGCTTTTAATGCCTACTTTCCTACAATCAATAATATTTTCACTGCGACTCCTCTATTTTCTACTTGATCACTTACTTTTAGCCAATACTGATCGCGAATGTGACAAGTTCGGATTATCCATAACTATGCCAAGTCCTACGTTGTTTGTGAATGGTCGGCTGGTAGCAGTGAAAAATTATTGGTATTTTCACAGATTGATATGATATATCGATATGCTACCATTTAGCTGAGCTAATCGTTTTCAAAGAGAATAAAAACGTCAGTCTACTGTAACTTGATAGTCGACTATATATCAATAACCTCTGCTTTGTGTCACAGATATTCTTGTAAAAACCAGTGATATTGATCAACAACTACCTGAACTGAAGGGATTAGAAAGTGATCCTAACTTTCAACCTAATAAAATAATCTCCAGAAGGACGCCATGATTAGAAATAATAGTCTTTAGAATGAGATTAACAAATGCTACTTGTGATAAATAGGTCAAAATCATCATGAAGGATATAAAACATATTTGCGAATTTATTTACGTTTCAGGTTTACATACAGTTGGACGTACCTTTCTGCATTCCTAATTTTTGTCTGATATATAGGCTAGTGGATTCGTAATAAAGGTACAACTCATTTTCATCATACCAGTCGACATGACAGTCAGTGAAGTGAATCGTTTGATAAGCTGAAGCAAGTTCAAAAAATAGGCACAAATTGAGTTAACATAGTCAAACTGAGCTCGTTGTATTTACTCAATCAATCAATAAATAAATAGCAACGTAGAACTTCGAACGTACGTACATCAGTTCATGTCGCCATATCACATTAGCACAGAGATGTAATTGTCAATTCAAATCCAATAGTAGTAGAGGTAGTAAAGGTATTAGCAGTAGTCAGAGAGGTTAGGATTAGAAGATATTATTCAAGAAGTAGAATCTAGTGAAATAGACTTAAAAAGATTAATATAAAGTGATAAAGAATTAAAAAGTTTAGGATTTGAGAGAACACAAAGAGTGGATGCACCTGCACCATTGCAAACGGTTTTGAGCCATGTCATTCAGGGTCTCTAACCATCGATTACTAACATCTCGCGAACCCCAACCAGGTAGTCGACACCTACAGACATGACTCAGTCCAGCATTGATGAGACTCCCCAGATAAGTGAATTGGTCTACACGTTCGACTACTTTACTCGTTGTATTAGTATTACAGTAAGGATTTCATAAGCAAGTTTTGAAATGGTGAGAAGTTGAATTGTGTTTTTAGGTGGAAATGAACTAAGAGCTTACTAACATTGCCATAGAAACATCTAAATATAAAGGTAGGAGCAAGAAATACAAATTAGCGATTCTTGATACATTTGTTGCCACTGGATTTCAGGTATGAGCATCCACGTGTTTGCTCCTGAACTAATTACATTATCAGCTCAGTTTCCCTATGCCAAATAGATAATGTCGAATCGGTTTGTCGTTGATATAATGGTAAAAGGAATTTACTTGAACATGAGAAGTGAAATACGTAATTGATGGTTTTATGTAAGGGGAAACTAGAAAGTCCTTGAAGTCAGTATTATTTACTGAACATACTACTTTCAGACGCAAGTGAATCCCCGCGATATCTTCTTTATCTGTTTTAAATGTGAAGACAATGGTCTCAATGTAACTTAACAAGAAATTTTGTACCAGGCTTTGAGGCGTACTTTTAAAAGTGAGAGAGTTAAGGGCACTAGACGTAATTCGAAAACAAATAAGGTGAGATAGGACTCGAACCTATTAGTTAGTGGTTATAAGTGATGGTTTAACCACTAGGCCACTCCATAACTAGGGGCGTCAGATGCAACAACAATTCCCAAGCTGGGATCGAAGTGTGTCAAAAGAAGCTTTGAGCTGAGCATTGGTTTGACTCTATCGAAAGATTTTTGACATTTTACTGACCACTGCCAAGGTTTATCTTTTGATAGTAATTCATTCAGGGGACCTCTCAATCGATGTATTTCAGGCAGGAGTGCGCTGTAATGACTGATTAACCCCAAGAAGGATCTTAATAAAGAGACATCAGTTGGTGCAGGCATTTTTTGAATGGCTTCGATATTGACCGGGTCTGATCGGCGACCGTTCTTATGTAAGATGAAACCAAGGTATTTGATCGAATGAATGAAGAAGATACACTTTTCTTCAAGGAGTTGAAAACCATACTCCAACATTCGGCAAGGACTTGATGTAGTCGATAAGAAAGTTCACTGTCAGTTGAACACATAACTATGATATCATCTAGATAAGCTTCTGTACCAGGTATACCTGTTAGTATCGTATCCATTATTTACTGAAAGATGGCAGGTGCGTTCTTTATGCCAAATGGTAGACGGGTGTATTGAAACAGCCCTCGATGAGTATTAACGGTCAGAAGCTCTCTAATGACTTCATCTACTTACACTTGCAGGTAGGCATCGGAGAACTATATTTTCGCGAAACATGTTTCACCACTGAGCTTGACAAACAAGTCTTCAGGAACTAGTAACGCAAACTGATACATATAGAAAGCAAAATTTCAAAAAAAGTTGAGAAATTGGCACATATACACATAGTTCCATAGGCCTTCTTAATCAATAAGATCGGTGCGGCCCATGAAGATTAGTTGACTGGTTGTTTTACACCAGCCTGTTGCAAGCGATTAAGTTTCTGGTCGACTAGCTCAAGAACAGTATATGGTACAGGACATCTCGGACAAAAAATAGGTTTGGCATCTGATTTCACTGATAATTGAGCTTTCATCTTCGTACAGTGGCCAAGGCTATTCTGTAAAAATATAGGCAAACTTTCTCTTCAGTTTTTCTTGTAGCCTTTCAACTGTCTTCTTTGTAAGTATTGGGGTGTCCAATGATAAACAAGACATGTTGCAAACACTTAATGGGTACATCCACCACTCCAAGTTTTTCTAGCATATCTAGACCCAGAAGATCAAGGTTTGGCCGTTCTGTCACGGTTCAAATGGTCGTCTGATATGAGCATCATGACTTTTTCTCTTTTTCCTCGTCGCCACTATTATAATTCTCTCTTATTACAACCCAGCTTCTGAGAATCCTACAACAACAACAAGCACAATTAGATGCACAAATGCGGTTGTTGGAGACTCTGACTAAACAGCTCAACATCCAGTGCTCGAGTCCACATGCCATTTCAAATACATCTTGTGAAGCAGTTTCTAGCAGCATACCACAATTCATCAATGATCCCGAAAGTGGAAATACTTTTCTCACATAGTTCAAACGTTGGGAAGATACATTAAGAATAGAATTCGGTAAACAAGACGATACGTGGGAGACTCGATTGTTGGTGCGTAAGTTGGGAAGCAACGAACATGCTCGTTATGCAGACCATATATTACCAAAGTTAGCTCGAGAGCTCAGTTTCGAGGAGACGGTAATTCAACTGTCAGAGATATTCGGTGAATCATCCTCATTGTTTGGTATTCGATATCAGTGTCTAAATTTGGTGAAACGCGAAGTCGATGAATATGCGGTCTTAGAAGACATCGCCAACAGAGAATTTGAACGGTTCAAGTTACACTCGTTGACAGAAGACTAACTTAAATGCTTAATATTCATCAAAGCTCTTCAGTCACCGTAAGACACTGAGATCAGGACTAGACTGTTAACTCGACTTGGTCAAGACCCTAACGTCACACTCAGAACATTGACAGATGAATGTAAATGACTACAAACTATCAGACACGACATGTTGATTAAACAGGTAAATCCTAATTTAACTGGCAGTAGTGTCAAGGCTATTACCAGGTTAAAAGTTCAGAGGACAATAACAACTCGTAACAAATCAACGACGGCATGTTAGTTATGTGGAGATTGGAATTATGTACGATTTTATCCATTTAAGAAGCATAAATGTCAAGTGTGCAACAAACGTGGACATAAAGAAGGTCATTGTCTACCGAATCGTATGTCTCAGCACAAGAAGAAACATAAACGTACTCGACAAGTGGTGAAATTAGCCGAGTCTAAATCTCTTTCTCTTGTAGCTGCTTTTCAAACAGACTATGACATTCAGAGAAAGTATGTTACTATCCAGATAAACGGCACATCAGCTCGTTTTCAAATCGACACGGCATCAGATATCGTCTTAGTGTTTAGAGAAACATATAACTTGCTGGGGAAACCGCCAATGAAGCCATCTAAGAAGACGGCTAAAAGCGCTTCAGTGTGTGTGTTATAACTGGTCGGTGAGTTACAGTGTGAATTTTCCTTCAATGGAACAAAACGTACAGGAATATGTTATCTGACAGAACGGCTAAACTTTGATCTTCTGGGTCTAGATATGCTAGAAAAACTTGGAATGATGGATGTACCCATTCAGTGTTTGCAACATGTCTTGTTTATCATTGGACACCCCAATACTTACAAAGAAGACAGTTGAAAGGCTACAAGAAAAACTGAAGAGAAAGTTTGCCTATATTTTTACAGAATAGCCTTGGCCACTGTACGAAGATGAAAGCTCAATTATCAGTGAAATCAGATGCCAAACCTATTTTTTGTCCGAGATGTCCTGTACCATATACTGTTCTTGAGCTAGTCGACCAGAAACTTAATCGCTTGCAACAGGCTGGTGTAAAACAACCAGTCAACCAATCTTCATGGGCCGCACCGATCGCAGTAATGAAGAAGCTCAATAGGAATAGAACGTCATTACATTCACTTAAATCACTAAGCTTACTAGAAAAACTGCAGAATGAACTAGTGATTTTTAAGATGAAGAGATACTCTTTTTATTAAGCTTTATGATCAAAGATATTTGTCTTTTGTATCAGAAATATGGGTGAAAAGTTGTCATATACCAGATAAACTGAAAACTATGATGTACTGAAACTGGTCAGTGAGTAGTAACAGAATAAGTTTTACGTACATGGATGGAAAACCGAGCCACTGACAACCCTGAAAAAGCTAATATACACGGTAACAATTATGGGGTAACACAAAATATAATAAATCTGTCTTCATCAGGCATTAACGCATACTTACATGTTAACATCATTATCCAACTCATTAATTGTAAACACTGAGAAAAATAACACGATTTTAGTTTACCAAATAATAATTTCAGTTGATGTAAAGAGGATAGTAAAGCCGAATACAAACACAAACAACCTGAGTATAGCAAATGTCAGAACGTTTCTCAATATAAGTGTTGTGATGCAATCAGCTACAGTATCTTTGGAAATAAATGTTAAACACGAAGAATTTTCTCCCAACTGAGACCATAAATTGTAGGCTTAAGCATGAAATTTTAAATTTTAAGTTGTTTATCATTACTTCAGTCTGTCAATAAGGACCTGGAAAGATTTGAGTGGTTTTTATATGACATCTGTATTAAGAACAAATTTATTGTAATTAAAACGAAGATCAACAGTCTAAAAAGTATCTTATTAGTTCCTCATATTCTCTACAACTGTGCCGTTACGAACCTACTGAGATATAATGCATTTCAAGTAACAACAGTGGAGATGTTTTGAAAACCGGAATGTCACTCAGGTTGACGATATCTGAGGCCCTTAGATGAACTTGCTTGAATTAGGTGGTCTTTTAAATGATTTTTTTATAAGCATTTGAAACTATTTTTGGTTAGTTATTCTTACTTGTGCTAAAGTACAAAAAAGAGCACCTGTATCATGCTAACAAAGAACCTTCGATCAAAAAGACAAACCCTTAACTGACACCAGAAACTGTGCTTACCCAACACTCATCTTTCAGGGTTAAGTCATATATGGTCTAGTTCATTCTATAGACGCCTTATAAATTTCTAGAAACAAGATTTATTAGTCGTCAAAATGAGTAACCATGGCATAGTAATCTATCTAGAAGCAAAGAAAAGATACATAAATTACAGTTTTAAATTATTAAACATATAACCTTAACTGTAAAGATATGGTGACAAAAGAGCTTACAAGTAACAATGAAACTTACGAACTCGTTTCTTAAGTACAGTGGGACCACATATGTTATCATCTGAGTGGGTTTTTTTTCCATTTGCAAAATCTTCATTTTTAAAATCACAGGACTGGTATGTTCCAGTGACCGGTTCACCCTTTGTTGTAATATACGTATACTGAAGAGTTGGAGCACTAACTACGGAATGAACAGGTGTGCTGTTTGATCTTGTGAATAAACTGCCGTCCGAGCACAAGGATTTATCTGGAATGGCGATATTCCGAGCTTTTCTCAAAAGGCAGGTGATGTGCTCCGCTTCTAAACGCTCAGCCATTGACTCATCATCGAGAGGTTCAAGGGTACCATTATGGCCTTCACGATACCAAGTACCACGCAAAATACGTGTGGGACACTTCTCATCTGAACAGCAAGCAAAATATAATTTACGTATAAACTAGTGATAATAATCGTTCATTTAGTAAAATAAGATTAATTTCAGCAAACAATGAGATTTCATAATGTTTAGATAAGGGTTTAAACACTAGAGTATGCAATATTTCGAGATAATTAACACTAATATCAACCAAATTAAGTGCGTAACTCAATGCAAGGAGTTTGGAACATTTTACATTGACAGATTATGTAAATATTATTTAGTTATTTTATTCACCTGTAAGGAGAAATATAATGCATAAGATTATCTAATTTAGGCACGTATATATTGATTTTACTGTACATCATAGCTATAAGCTAAGTTACTCTTCAGCAAAGATTCCAGTTAATAAAATTCGATTACACAGCAATAAATTCACGTCAACTAACTTAATAGTGACTTGTAGGAAAATATTTTGACAACTTCAACACTAAACCATTAGTTCTAATGATAACAATTCCATTTTCGATACACCAACAAGAAGTGGGGTTGTGAGTACATCATATTCGATTGCGAAAAATTCAGAACCAGAGACCCAAAGCAGCTACAGATATTTACGATAGCAACATTAAAAACAAAAAAGAATCACACGGCAGGTCTAAAAAGATATAAATAACACAGAAATACTCTGCAGTTTAGACAAAACTTACCAGGCCAGTAAATAGGTACACAACATCGCCTATCTATATCCGCTTCATATAATCCACCCCTTACATACACCTTGTGATTGACAGCAGACCATTCTGAGTTGCATACTACGGGCGCAACTTGGTTAAACTCATAGTCACTTGTATTACAGCCAAGGCGGCTTCGATAATTCAACTCCAGATTGATGGAGTCAAAACCAATAAACGGTTTCCAGCGTTTGTTATTGGAATCACGATAAAACCAACGAACCTAGGTCAAACACTGTAAGTTACTTTAAAAAAAATACTTGTTCGACTTCAAGTGAGAAATGATCACTTTTGGACGCATAACGGGAATTTGTTGACAATGAATCATCACAATTGGGAGTGGGGCTACTAGAATCACAAGACATATGCCCTTAAATCTTCTGAAGTTGTTCGAATGAGAAAACCGAAATATAGTCCTGCTCTACGCAACTTCCGATGAAAGGGAATAACGGACAGGCACCGTAGTTTTTGACATAACTCACAGTCAGGATCCGTCTAAAACTGCCTCCCAAAAGCACACACGACCTTGAAGGTCTGATCGCGCTGACAATTTATTTCGAGAGCTGAACAATCTCTAATATCTTGAATGTGATTAGTTACATCAGTTTCAATTTGGAAAAAACAGGTGGAGGGCGTTAATGGTCTCTCAGCTGGTCCGAATTTCTTTTGAATAGAGCGATAGATAGAGCTTCAGCCATATATCGATGTAAGGTGTCCCCCTAATTAATGATTCGAAAGATCGGTAGTTAGCTTTCAAATAATTTGTTTTGTGTTGGTGAAAATTTTTTCAGTGCCCCTAGAAATCCTGTTTTTACAAGACAATGAAAATAAAGTTTAGCATTAGATAATCTACAAATTGTCCATGCATTTAAAAGTCTCAAGCATTTAGCATTGTCAGGTTTACTTAACAGGCCAATGATATCGACCTCTTTGATTTTTATTAGTGCAGACAGTGTGAATGGAGGGGTTTGTATGAACCGAAGGAAAGGGTCTGTATGGTACATGTATACATCATTAAAGTAGTTTCAGAATACCTGAGCTTTGTTATCGTAGACTTCCACCAGTGATTTAGCACCTCTAACCCTGCCTCTTTTCCTAGTTATATGACTTATGTTCAAGTATAGGCCTTTAGTGCTCTCCAAGAATCACCAACGCCCTTCTCTTCAGACATTATTCCGGATTTCCGGAGGGTCGGGGAACAAATGTTCCGGGCTTCTTGGTATTAAAATTTAGTTTCAGAAAGGCACAGACGTAAATGAAAACAAGTCACTAACAAAGTAACGAAAGGGCACATTCTTAAATGAATAGAGAAAACTTGCTCTACACGATGTAGTAAGGAAAGAACAGTAATTTGATGTACAAGCTATATTTCAGTCATTATTTTTCTACTAATATTACTCTTATGGGGTCATAAGTCAGTTCTTTTTCAATCTTATTGCCTAAGTCAACTTGTAGCAGTATTTTCGCCACGATGTGAGTCCAGTTCAAGGTTAGTAACATGAGTCAAAGGCATAGTTTACTTAGTAACACTGTCATATCCTAAGAAGCTGCGAGCAAACAAACCTTCCTGCCCCATAGATACTTGAGGACTGAGGTTATCACTCAATCACCATATTCGCCTATCAGAAACACTATCCGCTCTTCATCTGGGGTTTTAAGCTCTCCCAAGTTTGCAATGTTTTATTTATTATGTAGTTTCTTGTTGAGGAACACTTCTACCGAAAAAAGGCGAATGGTGAAAAATAAGCATTTATTATTGTACTCGTTTTGTTTGACTTTACCAAAAACATTTTCTTGTGCGTAACGTTCTTTTTCGCGTTGCTGCCATCTTACATAAATTGCTGCTCTATGCAACGCCTACTTTCTCTTTCAAATAAATATTCGACCACGGATTTGTTTCTATAATTTGTAATGGGATAGTAATGAATATTTAGTGTTGATCATAGTCAATCTCGATTTGGTCACCACTAAACTCTCTTTCGCATACATAGTTACATATTACAAGAAAACCTGATAGCTTAAGCTTCTGTAAAGTGGGTTATATTTCCGTTTGACACGCCACACTGTTACACATTCAGTAACAACTCCCCAAGCCGATTCGATCAGGTTTCGTTTCCGTTGTCCAGTCTACTAAGTAAGCTAAGTGTTGAATCCCTCATACATTTGATTTCCAGACATTCCATCTGGCCTGGTCTAACAAGGATTGATACAAATGACTAGCACTGCATGGTCATCCTGACATAATGTGGCACGTAGCCATTTAAAGACGTTTTTCCCTTTACACAATTGTCTGTGTCTTTCTGGGCACTCAGATCTACTAAGTGCTCAGATAAACTGCCAAGCCAGATGTATCCATCTTCATAATAAATTGACCGATCAAGTCCGTAGTAAATTAGGAAACCATTCTCGAAGAATCCACATGTTTATGAGCTGAATCGTAAAGGAGGGGTAGAAGCTGGATAAATCGGGAATGACGTCCTCTTTAGCGTTGTGAACAACGTATCCCAAGGAGCAGAATGTAGAAATTAGCTAGTTTAGGCTTGAAATGTAAGCAAAAACGGCAACTGATTGTGTTGGTTTAAATTATTGTCAGAGAATTGCTTCTCCCTCAGTTGTAACATACGTGCGAATATGGCTGACCTGATTGAACAAGCACTCACTGGCCGACGATCTGACTCCACTTTGGATGAATGATCGAGCATGAGATGAAATAAGTGATCCTTATTTAGATAAAGTCTGTTTGTTCGATGGCAGTGATTAAAAGCCCAGAACGCCTTTGCAGATGAACTTATTTCATAGATTCATTTCAACTAACAGCCGTACCAATTACCAGGTTAAATCCCACCGTAGAACAGGAATCAAATAAAAGCTGGAGATAGTGATTAGTATTTATTTGTTGGTGATCTCGTGGTATCGAATTAATACCGAAATCGTTCCAAAGTGTACAGGCGAGACTACAGTGCGTACATGAGCAAGGTCAAGGTCAAAAACAACGGAAAATGAGGGCGTTGACACAGATAAACAAAAGAGTACAGCAAAACAGTCATTGGTACAATTAGTTATGATAAAAAATGTTCCGATTAAACAATTCGCGTTCACTTCTTAAAAGATGATCACTTTACAGGTAAGAGAATGTAGACCGTGCAAGCAAAGATAAGTGAAGGCGGGTGTCTCATGCTAAGATAGCTAGTAGTAGGTTTGGAAGATTAGCTTATCGGGCTAAAACAGAACATAATACGGAAGCTACTAGTGGTCTGCGTGTGGGACATGAGGATTTTTCGTTTCTACCTAAAGCACGCTCAGAAGATAAGAGAGTTGTCAATTATATCACGAAAGCATACGCTGATGAAAGACGAGTATGTGACCGTAACGATGTAAAACCTCTTGATGCGTGTCCTAGCAAGAAGACGGTTGGTGTAACAGATAAGATGGCTTTTCTAAGTATGGAAAAGAAAGAAAAGGGTGAAAAGTGTAGGCATCAAGATGGATCCGAAGTGTGTGATGGTAAAAGCCTCTTAACTGCTCGAACATCAAGGAACGGTTATTTGGATTCGAGCAAACAGAGGTTAGTGAATAAGAACAAAGACGAAACAGGTTTGACTGTATGGAATAAAGCTTATGTTCGGAACCTTTCACGTAACGTAAATTATTTAACAGGACCTAGAGTTGATCCTAGGACAACAAGTGTATATAGTGACACAGCACTTCATGTTGCTGAGCAATCAGGATGTCTGCAGGCTACTATATCTAGTTCTATGGAGCATCATGATATTGAAGCGGAAGATAATGGCAGCTTAGCGCGTCCTGCTGATGTTTGTTTACGGTCAACGGATGGACGGCCGTATACTAGTCGAAGTAGTCATATCGACATTGATAGTGTTAGTGAAAGTGGTAGCGTAGCTTTGAAGCCTGCATGCCAACTATCTCGCAACTCGTCATTAACTGTGAATAGTCGGAACATCATTGTCGACAACAATAACGTCAAGGTGGAGGTGAAACCCCATGTATCTATTAATAGTGTAATTGATGTGAATAATAAACGAGATGGTAACGATAGTGGAATCATTATAGGTAGTGCTGTTTCGTCGGTTGACGCTGCTAATGTAGCTTCATTGAGTACTTCGAATCAAGACGAAATTGGATGTTTGAGAGTGGAGAACGTAGGCGTCGGTGGCAATAGCTTTAGCTATAGTGATGGCAGTACTGAGAATGCTAACATTCGGTACCCTAGGTGCAATGAGGAGTCATCTAGGTTTAATGGACATGCTGTTGTTTTGAATATGCAGCATGAGGAATCAAGCATGGAATTGTCCACCTGTCGCACTTCACCATCATTGACTGTATGAAGTTATCAAAAATGAATGTTACAGAGAGGAGGCAGGAAGTGAGAAAGCGTGGTCTATGTTACTTGTGTTTAAGGAAGGGTCACATAGCCAAGTCGTGTAACTCAGACACAAGGTGTGACGTTGATAATTGCAAGATTCGGCATAATCCATTATTGCATATTGATGCTTCTAACAAACATGTAGTGAATTTTGCTAAGGATTGGAAATTCCCAAAGGTTTGGGTATCGTTCCGGTTAGACTATATGGCCCCAAAGGATGTCTGGAAACATACGCTCTTCTAGACAATGGTTCAGATACCTCTATTGTATGCGAAGAGTTGGTTAATCGGTTAGGTCTCAAAGGTAAGGAGACTTCAATAAAGTTGACGACTGTGAATGGAACTTCTACTTGTGAATGTCTGGAAGTGAATTTAGAGGTATTTTCATTAGATGAGCGGGGTTCTATAAAGATCAACAAGGCCTATACGACCAAGAAACTTCCGATCGATTATGCAGAGCCTTTAACCGAACTGCAGCTGAGAAAGTGGAAACATTTAAGGGACATAACTCTACCGAGGCTGCAAAGTAATCTAGTAGGAATATTGATTGGGTGTGATGCTCCAGATGCACATTGGGTCCTTGAACAACGCCTGGGAGACAGGAAGCATCCGTTTGGTGTGCGTACTCATCTCGGTTGGATGATTTTAGGTCCTAAAGAAGCATCGAGGTCTTTACATCAAGTTCAGTGGTGTCATTGTTCTACTAATGATATTTTGCGAGATATAGAAAGATTATATAATCATGAATTCGAGGACGCAGATGGGTTTCGTAATGAATATACTGTCGAAGATAAAAGAGCTCTAGAAATAGTTAATAGCTCGACAACCGTGCTTCGTAAGATCAACGAGCAAAAAACTGGACGTAACAAAAGTTCTTCTAGTTTAAATTTGTCATAAACTGGATTCTTTGGTCGTTTGGCTCCAGAAGTTCTTCAATTCAAAATTTTGGTCGTTGGAAACTTTTGGAAATTTGGGTCCAAAA